TGTTTTGGCCTGCCACCTCCAGTCAAAGCATTTAGGAATTCGAAAAAGGAATAGCCTCACAGCTTTCCTCTTTCAGACGAAAACTTCAAGTTCTCAGCATGCAATTTTTCCGGCATCACTTACGATGGAATGCTAGTCAAACAGCACAACGGAACATTGCATATCACAAGGTGGGCAGGAGCTGAACGTTTGCTGTTGCACTGGTCGACATTCCTGAATTTTAAAGAAGGCTTGTGAGCTCCCTGCAAGCAGACACAAGCTCTGTTCGGGCAGGGTATCCCGAAACCAGCCACATCAAGTAACGGCTGTGCCTCTGCGTGCCAGAACCAGAACCTTTCGCCGCCTTGCACAGAGTCTGTGGAGGGCTGTTGACAGGCGCCCTTTGCAAGGGAGCAAGTTCATGACTTGGCATGATACGCGGAGCAGTTGGCACGAGCTGCTGATGGAGCAACTTTGGCACTGCGGCCTTCTCTGCCCAGCTGGGCTTTCGCTTGGCACTGCTCTCATCGGCGGCTGTGGCACCTTCCAGCGGTGCTCGGGTGGTCGGCAGCGAAGCATTTCGCTTCTAGTCACTTCTAGTCAACTCTTCGATTGGACACATGAAGAGCCAGCCTGCTGAGGCAGTCTTTGCAACCTTGGCGAGCGAGCTACTAACATCGCATCGTATTTGCCCGACAAGATCAAGCGGGGGCGTGACCCACTGCATCTTGCCACGGCCATACCTGCCGCGAACCCGCATCGCCCGATTTGCTGTGCGCAAAGAGAGCAAGCAGGACCAGTCGTCTGCATGGTGCCAACGCTCTGACCACCACCTCAGCGCTGTGATGTAGTCTACTGGACTCGGCCCATTAGATATCTCAGGGCCGCGGCTCGTCCTTAGAGTTGTCATGCCAATCGTTCCATTCCCAGTCATCTGACGGGGTGGCCTGCTGGAGCTACTTCAGTATGGCAGTGGCACAAACTACGGGGCACCGTTACAAAATTTCATGTACAGCTGTGCCTGCGTCTCGGGCTGCTGATCCACGCTCCTGCCATCGGCCGCTCGGAACAAAATGAATTCGATGCGAAAAGATCCCAGCGTGAACTGATGATGAGTTCATTAAGTGGAATGGTGCAGCCACCACTGAATAGTTCCTTGAACGGGATGTCCGACTGCCGCGCTCCTGCTAGAAAAATTCAAGCCGAGCTGTCATGCCACAGTCAGTGTACTACTAACCTGGGGGTTCCTTATTCTATTTTAGCATCTCATAGTAATGGGCCCCTATATCATACAGCCTTTTTCGTATTCTCTATAGAATTCCTGTCTTGAAGGACCCCTCAAAGGAACCCTCTTCGAATTATCAAGGTACCTTCAAAGAGTCAAAGCTCGCTTCCTCAGCACGGATTCCCACTCAGGTCGCTTTAATTAAGTCGGCTTCAACGCTCTGGAACGCGGGCGTCGGCTCTGCAGTTGCAGTGGCGGTGACGGTAGTAGTCGTCGTCGCCGTCGTCCACGTAGTAGTCGTAGTCGTAGTCGTAAGTCGTAAGTCGTAAGTCGTAAGTCGAAGTAGTAGCAGTAGTAGTAGTAGTAGTAGTAGTAGCAGTAGCAGTAGCAGTAGCAGTAGCAGTAGCAGTAGCAGTAGCAGTAGCAGTAGCAGTAGCAGTAGCAGTAGCAGTAGTAGTAGTGGTAGTAGTAGTAGTAGTAGTAGTAGTGGTAGTAGTAGTATCATGCGTTCCAGTCGGGTAAAACCTGGACTGTAAATGTTCAAGGTTTCAGAGTGGGTGTCACACATGCTTGGACTCTCCACTCGAGATCCGGAAGTAGCCTATGGGTCTTGGGCAATGCGTCCACTCACAGTCTTCCGCTCCTTTCGGCCACGGCCCCTGGGTGCTCCGTCGAGGTCACTGTCGTCGCCAGTCCCAGTCCTGAAGGCAGATATGGCGGTCGCTGATGGGGGTTTGAAGCTTTTGGGGGACAGTGGCCCGAGGCTCTTATCATCTGCATCTCTACCTCAGAAGAGCTCATAGAAGCTCGTCCGAGTACGGATTCAGACCTTTGGGGGTGCAGGGCTTGGTGCCTCACGATGCTGAGTGGTGAGCATTCCACTGTATGATACTGCATTTCTTTTACTTTCCGGCTTCCATGTGCAGAGGACTCAGAGGCTACATGGAGATTAGGGGTAATCAGCCTTTGTTGTGCAGCGGTTCCGTGCTGAAGCCTGGTCCCGCGGCTTTCGGAACCGAGGAAGCTGTCGACAGGAGTTGGCAGCGGTGCCCAATCCTGCTCAAGAAGGCGTTTGCCGTGTCCCATGAAGCTGAACCGATTGGGTTGTCCCGGCCTTGTTGGGCGTGTCGCTGAAGAGTGCCAAGTCCGGGAACTTGGCTTCTATCCTCAGAATAAAGTTAGTCGGTCTGTCTGCTTGCCGAACCGACTGACTATCCCATTTCTCTGCCACTTAGTACCCAACTTCTTGTAGCTCTCTGGCTTGTCAACAACTTCCATCTTGCTGCAAATCTGCAGCAGGTGGACACTCGAGAGGCATTGGTCGATGCGGGAAAGTGCTAATGTGGAAGCAGCAACCAGGACGAATTAGCTCACCACTTGTGCAGACTACGACCAACCTCAACGATCTGTTGTCTGCTGTACCGGCGGAAGTCATGCTGGTACCTGACTCGCTCAAGAATCACAAGCTGCTTAAAAGGCAGACCAGAACTGCTCCATTTGGTAGCGCAGGCTTCCATGAGCATGCTCGCTGTGGCTTGAGAGAAGCACCCAAGGTTCTCGTCATCGGTGTCAGCACCCTGTCGTCATAAACAAGACAACTCCATGAAGACGAGAGGGCTGCAAGTCTACAAGCCTTGCCCATGTCGGTCGGGCTCTGGAAAGCCTGGCACATTTCGACGAATCTCGAGTTCTTTGAGTTTCTCAGTTTCGTGTCGCATCGAGCACCAAGCCACGCTTCCAACACAAAACAACATGGCAAGCGCAACTGCCTGAAAGTCAGCTTCTCCCTTGCTCATGGAGCCTGTTGCAAGACTTGGGATGCAACAGCAAATTGCGGAACAAGTACGCAACTAAGTCTTCGGCGGGATTTCCCCTCAGCCTTGCCTTTGCCTGTGTGCCAAAGTAAAGAAAACGTTTCAGGCAACAAACTGTTGCTGCGGACATCCACAGGACTGTATTAGTGCTTCTGCTGCATCGCAACCAATGGCCTTTTCCCTTGTCGAACCCCTTGTCGAATCCCTTGTCAAAGCCCATGTCGAAGCCCTGCGGCGGGGCTGCTTGCGAAAAAACCTGCGGCTCCGACTGGCAATCCTTCCAAACCAACCAAGGCCAGTTTAGCATCCTGCCTTGCCAGGGAGTCCTTTGCCTTTTCCCTTGTGGCCCTTGTCGCGGCCCTTGTCGACACCCTTGTCGGTGCCTTTGTCGGTACCCTTCATCAGGCCTCGGATAACACTCCAGCTTGGTGCTACACAGAAGCACTAGAACGATGGACTCAAAAAAATCGCTTTGCCACTAAGGTGCCTTTGCCCTTGAAGAGTCCCTTGTCAACAACGTCCTTTCCCTTGCCGTTTCCGTCCTGCAATTTCGGTGAAGATCCAGAACAACACAACCCGGGGTGCAGAAATCCCCAGATTTCATGCTTCACAGCTCGGGCGCTCCCCGGAAGGTCCTTCCCCGCATCAGGCGATGGGGTCATCCAGGCGGGAGCCCCCTGTCCGGGAACCTGCTGTAGGGTTTCGGGTTTACGGTTCAGGGTTTTGGTCAGACTTCCAGGCAAAAGCAAGACTTGGCGCTGAGTGCTCGACGACCCAGCCACCAGTAGCATTGGCGTTCCACACCTGCATTCCGAGCCTTAAATGACAGGCTAGGAATCCTTATCTGGGCTTGTACCCTTTCATCCCAGAGCGCACAGTCATCGAGTCATCCCCGAATACCGAATAGCGATGCATCTGAAACTTCTCCCTGGCTTCCCACCACCTGGTAATTCATTGCGGCAGCCCACGGTGGTACGCCTGCGAGCAGTGTCGAAAGCTCGAAAACGCCACACGGTCCAACAGCGGTCCTTAAACTGCTACATTCGCAGAACGGCGTTCCCCGCCAAACCGTCAACCAAGCCCACGGATCAGCGAGACCCTGTTATGGCGTCAACTTCGGATGGGTCCCACAGTCAGTCGCTGACTGACATAAGACTTCGGACACGGGCGATAGTTTGAAAAAACGGAAAACTGCTTGCTGAAAAGATCGGGCTTTGCGAGGCCATGACCATGGGTCGGAAAGCCGGCCATGGGCTGCATCGGAAAGAAGCTGCGCAGGAACTGTTCCGACCTGCGAGGTGACGTGAAAGCTCGCCGCGCCGTAGGTACTTCCATCTTCGAGGTCCCGGCTTGATGGAGCACTTCACTCCGTTTCCCCGAAGCTTCTGTGATCTGCGCGCATTGCATCACGACACTGTGCCTAGATTCGACTCAGTCCTGCGATGCTCCCACCTGAGCCACAAGGCCGCATCCGTTGCATCCATGTCGGTTTTGAAGGCGACGAAAGCCTGAAACACGACTGTCGTGCGGCACGGTTTTTGACGTGCTTTACATTGTCTGTAGTCGCTGTCACAACCTGAGCATTGGACCGTGTTATTAACATCAGGCTTGATCGACACCAGGGACTCCGCTGCAGGACACTTCTCGAACAAGTCGTGCAGCTCCTGGCAGCGAGTTGAATGCTTTCCGCCCGACTTTGATCTTCGCTCTAGCACTTTTCTAAGCGAGTTCATGCAAAACTCAGACTTCGCAGGACTCAGCACTGCTCAGATCCACGTGGTCTACCGGATCTTCGGCCAGAAATTGACTGCGACGAACCTGCGGGCCTGGAGCTGTACATGTCTGTACAAATCTCGTGCATGAATCACTGGCTGTACATAAAGTGCAGTCTGGCTGAGCCGAAGCTCACTGCCCAAATTAGAACATGGCCTTTCGAAGTCATTTCAGGCTTGGCAGTCTGGTGCTCTCACTCGGCTCTAGGCCTAGGCCATGCAGCTCCAGCTTGACTTGGCGAAGAGCCTGGACTCGCGGTTCGTGGGCAATACATGCAATGTGTCAAGTCCGAGGATGCGAGGACATGCTAGGAGCCTCTTGTGACAGACAGATCAGCCTCTTCCGTTCCCCTTCCGTGCCTCGGGGGCCTCGCGCGCTGCCTCCTCCACTGCAGCCAGGAGCTCAGCATCCACTTCCTGGCTTCTGCAGTTGCCACCGGCCAAACATCAAAGCGGCTGCGGCCAAAGCAGGGAAGCGCGGGTTGGATACCACTAGTCACTAGGTACACACTTCGGGAGGCCGGCGCGATAGAACGGCCTGGAGACACACCAATGCCCTACGTATCCGGATGTGTCGCGGATGCACTGAATGCAGGCCCAGCGTCTCGCCGTTCTGGCGGCCTCGCAGGCTGTATCTCAACTGCACATGCCCAGCCCCAATGGCCCATCTGGCAGGAGAGAGTCAGGTGGCCTGTACGATAGACCAAGGGCGGCAAATATGGCCCTTTCCTGGGAGAGCAAGCTTCTACGCTGTCTTTTTCCCTCGTGAAGGCACCAATGCCCCACTGTCAAGCTGATGCATGCGGGGCTGTGGCGTTGCAGATATCGAGCAGGGTTACAGCACATGGCACGAAGCAACTTAAAGCCAACAAGCTTCATCAGCACACTCCATCTTGGCACCAGCACGGCAAATCTCCCCCACCTGGCTTATAGAATGTGTTCCAGGAAGGGAATGCAGCAGCCACTCGGACCTGGCGACCACGAGCGCCTTCTCGATCAGCCTTGCAAGGAGACACAAAGCTTTGAAGCTTGCGGTTGCGGCTCTCAGCTTTCGCTGAAGAGAAGGCCTTGCACATGTAGGTGTGCGAGAGGTGGAGTCCGCGGAGTGCTGCAATGCGCTTCATCTCCCTGCCAAGTCTCAGGAAACCAAGGGAAGCTCGCGTTCTCAAACCACGTGCCTGTTGAAAAGGCCCCCATCGCCTCGGCTGCGGCACGACAGGTGAAGCGACAGGACTCACAGAATACTTCCAATCCTGCTTATCTGATCTAGGCTCGAAACGGGCTGGCCCACAGATTTCAACGGTGTTCTCGGTCATCTGAAGACCAACTCTGGTTGAATTTAGAATGTAAGACCGTAGATTCGTATCCTAGCACACCAGATAAGCCATGCAAGACCTTCTAGAGTGGAAAAGACCCCCATGTTTGCCACTGAGAAGCTTCCGGTCCACTGAAGAGTGATGAAGGGTAGGCCAGCGCGGCGGCAAAACACAAAGTCGCACCGCCTGCTGGTCGAAGCAGGATCCGTCTTTGGGGGCTTTGGGGCTTTCACGGTTTAGGGTTTCAATCCGCGCCTGTATCTCATGGGCTCTCCTTCGATGGGACAGCCGCGCACAACACAGAGGCATGCCTGGAAAGACCAGACGAACATGCACACACTGCACACACTTTCAACTTCACAGCAAACCCGTGCCTGGGCCGAGCCTGTTGGGTCATCATCCCCAGGAACCCTGCCGTCAGACAGAGTCGTGGCCCGACATCTTGCAGACAATCGGCTCATACTCGCACTATGCTCTGCCTTACAGGCTTCGGGGAGTGCGGAGCATTGTTGCTAAGATCGGCAACGATCACGCCGCCAGACTCCATCGCCTGGGCCACAAGTAGACACGGCTCCGTCTCAACTCTCAACTCATGTGGCCGCTTGGAAAAAGAATATCAGGAACCCGCAAGAAGATATGCGGCAGCATCGGATTCCACTGGACCGTCGCCTGATCTCGAAAACACCAAATTGTAAACGCACCTCCGTTCCCACCCATTGTCGCAAGTGCTACGGTAGTTTTACATCCGTGAGCGACAAGCTGCCATCGACACACACCACCAGCGTCATCCCCGAGCAAAGCACGTCTCCACGGCCTTGCAAAAGAGCGATGAAGACCTCTGCTAATCACAAAGCTAAGGTCACGACGGTAGGCGCCGCAAGGGACCACGGTCGCCAGGCAGTTGGCCTCGTTTCGAAGTGCTCCGGCTCCGGTCTTCCTGGGAGATCCCAGGTCGCCGTGCCTCGGCGGCCCGCTGCACCGCGCAGTGCACGCGCTCCACCTCCGAGCGGGAGATCGGCACCTCGTGCAGGCGAAGCAAACTCGGTTCCGAGGCATCTGACACTACTCTTTGCGCTCTGAATCTGCTTCCCCTGCCTGAAAATCATCCACGAAACGCAGTCCCAGACGCTGAGCCTGTGACGAGGAGTGGCTCAGTGCAACAGGTCGGCACAAGCGGCCCACAGCGAGTCTCAATTGGATTCAATGATCTTGTCGACAAGCCGGCCTTTGTCAATCCTGTAGCGGGGCCACCGGCAGTACCCGGGAGGGAATCCACACGCAGGCGGACATCTGCAATCGAACGTGCACCACACCTGCACTGCCGAGCCAAGGTCAGAGACACGTGAGAAGAGCGAACATACCCAGTCTGCCACCGAGGCATCAATAGACTGTTAGATGCCCCGGGTCAACCTGAGCCATGTCTGCGCCAGCGCAGGGCCCACACCGTGTATCCTGCGTGCACCCACACAGGACCCACACAGGATCTCTGTGGGCACGTTGCACAAGCTGAAGCTTGCTCCGAAGTGCCACACTTAAGCTGGAAGCATGTGGAAGCATCCTGGTCATTTCCAACAGCGAGTGGACGTCGGCATCCTCACGCAGAAACTCAGCAGCACTCCACTATGTCACCATGTAATTAATGAATCTGTGTTCACGTCAGTTCAACACACGGTCCTTCCGGAAACCCTCTGCCTGCTGCAGGGTGCCCTTCTCCCGGATCTCCTGTGCGCAATCCAACTCAGCAGTCCTTATTGTGACATGGAAACGTATATACGACTTAACGTCCGTCTACGTGCATGCCCAAGTCGATGCCTGGCATTTCTGCACGAACTTTGGCGTCAGCCCAGAATGCGAGAGCTCCTCGAGGGCAGAAATCACATGTCTGGGCTTGCTCAGCTTTGTAACAGCATGCGCCGAAACCACGCCTCCCGTTGCAGCGTGCCGCGCAGCTGGGCAACCAGCTGCTCGGCCTATTCTAATTCAGAGAACAGACAAGGGAAGCTGCATCAAGCTCAATGTCTGTCAATGCCTTCTTGTACTGCCAGGAGCGCCACTTGTCGCCACGCACTGCCCAAGCTGCGGCACAGGTGCGGAACCTTTCACCATGCAACTGCCCCTTCCCGCTGTACCCAAAAGCAGCTGACACGAGCAGACAAGCTCGTTGCGGCCCTCTCCCGAATTGGGGGCGGTACTCTTCGACGATCTTTGCGCGCAAATCATCTGGCGATGCAAAGGCACCCCACCTCAAATTGATTGGCAGCCTGAACAAATTGCAGAAGTGGGCCAGGCACAGCTGAGCAGCAGACCCCGACTCGCCGGCACTTTCGGTCACGGGTGTATGTGCCTTCCGGCCGAACATGGAGATGGCCACGTGACCAGAAACTCCCAACCCTAACAGCAATAATGCGAACATGCTGGATCTGCTTCAACCCGGCCTGAGGCTTCTCCTTCTTGATGAGCGATTGCGCAGAGTCTCCTGCCAAGTGCTTGCTCTATAAATACACACACACACCATCTCTACAGACAAATCATGTTTGTGTTTCGGAGAAGCGACCAGAGGATGACAGTGTCGGTCGCACAAGCAAGCGACTACAAGCGGTTCAGATTCAGCAGCCAACAACACCGTGAGTCCCAAACGGGGCCGTGATGCCGACATACCGTCATTACAAACCATTGTTCCAAAAGGAAGGCTCTTTTGCGCCCCGAGAGGAGAAGGACACAATTATGGGCAGAATGGCAATCTGCCAGCCTGAAGATCACCAAACCCAACAAACGCACAAGGTCCATGGAGGGTAGTAACTACTCGGGACTTCCGATGAAAGCTTTTGGGGTCTGCCATAGTGGCGATGCGAAAAGGGCACTTGCAAACTTCGGGAGTGTTGAGAAACATGAACTTGGCGAAACACAGTTGCAGCAAGACTGTCGCTGGGGATCACTTGCGTATCGACAGGATGAATGGCTGGCCAGTTGCTAGAAACGAGGAGTTGTTCGGCAAACTTTAGGCAGGCTCTGACAAGCAACATGCACACACTGCGGGCCGTCCTTCCTGCTTTGCTGGCAGGCCACCATCGCTCTGTCAGGGGTGCATGAGTCACGCGAAGTGTACGAAACTCCGACTGCAAGCGCACATGCCAAGAAAGCCACACCACGCCAAATTTGGGCCGTCGTATTGCCTCCGTCAAGGGTCGCCACACGTAGCGCCCCTGCGGACGTTGGAAGGCACGTTCTGCTGCACTGCCCCGGTGTGCTGTGTGTCTGAATGCACCTCTGGCAGTCGGCGTTGCAGGACCAGACACTCGCTGACCCAGGCATCCGTGACGACAGCCTCCAGGCCACTGTACAGAACCACCGCACTTTAATTTGATGCTGTCAACGTCAACGAGAGCAGATGTAGGCCTAGCACCCTAATAGGGCTCATGCTCTGTGGTGGTCTCGGGAGATGGGTGTGCACACAATATTGAAACAGGTGCAGTCGAGAATCTTGAAAGCCAGGGCCATGTCTGGCCTCTGCGCAGTGACAACAAAAATAGACTGCTTTGCAAGCTCCATCTTGAACTGCCAAGTAGCATCAGGGTAGTCCTGCATCAAGACGGCCCTGCAAGGCATCTATTCACGGAAACACCAGCCACAAAACTGGAACCCACCCCACCTTGGCATTTGGCCTGCTACCACCACATGAGTCACGGTGTCGTCCCAGGACTCGCAAAGAGAGCCTGCACACAAGACAACCGCTCACCACGGACTTGTTATACTGCTCTACCAACAAATTTAGGAGAGTTTATTTGATGCTGACCAGCACGTCGATGTTGACGCTATGTCAGCTACAGGTGTGTTATTCCTCAGGAACGAGGCATCTGCTCCCGAAATCGATCGTTTGCTCAAAAATGTCCAACGAGTTTGTGTTAGGGCGCAAAAGGTTCTCCTGCTTCGGCTCATCACGGCCTCGACTGGCTGTTGTTGTTTCTTCCTTCTTCGTCCTGCCCTGAACTCAATTGAAGGCAAGGGCTCGGGCATACGACGCCCCAAAAGGCTGAATCGGCAAGTCGTCGTCTCAAGATCCGGCCGCTGTCTGGCCCTGCTCCCATGTCTTCAATGTCCCCTCACTGTGGCCGTCCTTGATAGGAAACCATTTTGGGGGACCAGAACCCTTGCCGCTAGCCTCGACCCCTGGGTCTTGAACCGCTTGCTGCACGCGCCTCCAGCTTCGCATATTCGAGCCTGGCTTCTGGCTTGATCCGAAGGTGGCGAAACGTCGGGAACGGAACCCTGAATTTGGGCCTCCAGCAGCTGCTTCCGTGTGGAAGACATGGCGGCGCCTCCTCTGAAAAAAAGCAGAAACTCAGAAGCAGGTTGCACTGCACTGCGAGCATCCAAAGAAGATCCTCGTCCACAAACCAGTACAGCACATCCCTCGAAGATCTGCTTTCCTTTGCTTGCAGGAGCCTGACAGCTTCAGAGAAACAGTGTCAGTGCCACTGCCTCGCGGCCACACTTCCCTACTCAGCCCTACTCTCGCCTACAGCTGCTACAGCGAGGGCGCGCCGCGGGCTGCCGCTAAGCACTCTTCCAACTCTTCAGAACCCGCCTCCTCAAGCCGCCTACTGCACTTCTGCGGCAGGCTGTCTGCGCTGCCCGGAGCTTCGGCTGCCTTCCGCTTGCGGCCAGGGCTCAGCGGGCTCAACGCCTGAAGCCAAAAGGGGCCAAAGGGGTTCTACAGAGCAAGGCGCCTATAGCCCAGGTCGTGCCAGGTGCCAGGCCTCGTAAGCCGGCTTGCTCACGCAAACCGGAACCTCTGCTCTTTGTGTAGGATCCTTTTCAATAGCCGGGCGAGTCAGATGCACAGCCTTGCAGGGGGCAATCAACGGAAAGCAGCTACTCCAGCTCTCTCCAGCCGCGGCTAACAGCGGCCTCCCCAGCACTGGACTTGCACCCACGTCCAGAGTAGACCCAAGAAGCAAAGTTATCGAAGTCCACAGCATCGTCCTTCCTTGACTGCAGCCAGGTTTCAAGCGAAGGGCAGACGTCTGAGCACCCATTCCATGACTCAATCCGCCTTGTTCCCCTCCATGGCAATCCCAGCTTCTCTTCGCAACGCGCAAACAGCGCAGAGAGCAGCGATGCGCGGGCGACGTGGCCCAGAGAATGCAAGAACTGGCTCAGGTTCCCCTGGCAAAGAACCAGGGCGAACGGCAAGGAGTGAAAGGACGGAGGCCGAAGTGTCTCATCGCGAGGCCCAACCTGAGAGACGGCCCGGCCACCTGCCGCGCACTGGGTGAAGACCTGCGAAGACTTCGAACGCGCGCAGTCTCGGGTGTGAATGGAGGATCCCGCTCTACGAGACCGATGCCGAAGGAAAGTATGCACAAGACGGCAGTTGCTGCAAGTTGCTCAACATCACGAAACTTCAAACCCGTGGCCTTCTCGCACCTTCGCTTGGCGTCACGTGGTCCGAGGCCTGTGCCAATTGCCTCGACGACTCGCCGCTTTGACGTATGCTGACATGCTGGCTACTCTTTCGGCCTGGCGGAGGACGGCCCGCGGATCGGTCCGGCGCGTGGCAGCCGCGGACAGCTTGCGCAGGACCTCAGACGCAACGCCAAAGCCAAGCGGAGGAGCGCCTCGCCAACTCCCCCGCCTTGTGAGCCTGGCGCAGGGGCACCTCCTGGAGTTCGGTTCGGGACGTGCATCTTGGATCGTCTTGGTCTGCTGGGGCCCTTGACGAGGCTCCTTACTCGCCGGCCGAGAATTGTTGAAGCGCACAATGATGGAGCCATCAGGTGCAATCGCCTGGCCCGACCAGCAAAGAGCCAGCATTTGAGCGCATCATGACCGTGCCACCCTAGACAATAACCTTGCTCCGGGCTGTCCTGCACCTCACCGTCATCAAACCACCTGCACACCCCCATGTGTCAAGCCGCACCGCGAGCATGATCTAGCAACGGACATGCGTCTGTGGCGTGCTTGCTGTTCTCAAACATCTGAGATTTCACTTATTGCCCAGTTCTGACAACTTGTGAACGTCCACAAAGGCCATCCGCCTCTTGGCCGAGGAACTCCACACATGCACGTGATCACCAGCAGCAAACTCTGCCGTAGCCTGGACAACCGCAGTGACAGCAAGTCACTGAAGCTGAGCTCAGAGTTTGGCACTAAATCCACACAAGAACAGAGTTGCAGTTGAATGAGAAGTATCGGCACGCCTACACGTCACACTCCAATCGTCAGTGTGACTCGTTCTGTCCACACGTCATCCATATGCCCGAGCTGCCGACTGTGCTTCCTGGGATGCTGCACATCTTCCACGCACAGCACACGGCCCGACAGCAGCTTCGAGCCACAGTCGGCGAGAAGCACCATGCACCATGCAGCAACCCTTTAACATGAAGCCTTCCTCCCTGAGAGACCCGATGCTTGCAAAATCATGTGGGTGTCGACATTGGCCAGCGATGCCAGCGGAACCGTCACTCAAAAGCTTGTGCCGTAGCTCCTCCTCGGCAATTGCCTCCGGAAGGTCGTGGAGAATGACCGTGTTCCGCTTGCTCTTCAAGATGGGCTTGATCTGCATACTCTCCTCAAAAAGGCGGCAAGACGTTCTTCACACCTACTCTCGCTGAATGCTGGTTACCTTGTCAACGATGACTTGCTCGGAGCGAAGCCTTGCAAAACTCGGTTCACACATCAAGAGTTCTACAGCAGCCATCTCTCAAGAACGAGAGGGCAAGGAAAGACAGAGAAATGAGGCCGCGGCGCCGCCTCGAAAAGAGTAGCAATGTCTACAATTTGTCCCATTTCCTCAAACTGCTGGTGGCCTGGAAGCATCGGATGCAATGCACTCAAAAAATGCATCGTGGCACACATGTCGCCTTGTCGTCCCGCCACTATGCATTCCGATGTTGCCAGCTCAGGACTGTGGATGTTCAAGCCCCTCGTCAATGAGCCGAGTCTGTCGCCAGCCAGGATCGGGATTGGGATCTGCATCTGCGAGTCCATGTTCATCTGGATGAAGCAGTCCTGCAGCTGGCAGTTGGGCGCTGCTCTCTCTTGCTCTTTCGAACCGATCTTCTGGGACCCAAGAGCCTGCCATTCCCCTGCATGAGCGTTCAAACTCCACACCTAAGGTTGCTCTAATGGCAATGCTGCTTCCTCCTGCAGGTTGTCTCGCGACAGCAGGAACTCCAACCTCGACAGTACACGTGCCTGCAAAACATGGCAAGAAGCTCTGCTTCCTTTGCACGAAACCGACTGCGCTCCCTGCCAGAGCGTCTGGGCCTCTTGCTTCTCTCGCACTTTCTCAATGGACTCCTCGCGGTCCTGCAATGAGGTACGTATGACATCATCATTTCAAAATTGGCTCATGTCAACTCTGCACGCCCAACCTCTGTGGTCTCTGCCATTGGCTTGACGGGGCGCAGCAGCCTGCAACAGAGGGCACAACGTCGCACAATCTGCACCGGATCCGGAACGCAGAGTTGCACGTTGGCAGAGCTGGGCAGGCACGTCGTGTATGGGAACTTTGGCAACACTGAAGAGTTGGGCAGTTCGACGCCATTTCCAGCATCAGGTTTGATGCAAATTCCCACACATCGTCTGCCAAGCCTGTCAGCATTGCTCGCCGGGGGCGAGCACAAGTCTTCAATCCAGCGGAATTTTGCTGAGGATCCGTGGTGTCTGCTGTGCCCTCATCTTATGGGTGCAAGTCAGCTCGGTCTCGCGATATGAGTGATCAATGGCGGTGAAGGTGCTGGGAAGAGGTTTGGACCAGAAAGTTGGGAGTCTTTGCCTGGGTTGTGGTGTGTAGCTGAACTTGTTACTTGTGCAAGGTGGTTTGGGTGCTTCTATGCCTATATGCGCTGTGGCTTACAGAGCAGCTCAATGTTTGAGACGGAATGATGCCAACAGCAGCCAGTCGGATTCATAATCTTAACATCAGAACCAGCTTGCAACCCGACAACTCCCACGGCACTGACAACCTCTCAGTCAGAGGAGCCATTGTTTCGCCCAGCTCTGGTTTCATTCCCTCGTCACTGCGAGTACACTGACCTGTGAACCCTCCTCTCCTCACTTAGATGTAGATCAAGCAGATGAACTCTTCGGGGGAAGTCAGCGGCAATACCAAATATTGCTCAATGTGAACCCTAATAACTGTATGACTAACAGCCGACCATTATCATTCATTTGCCTGTTGGTGTTGGTTTTCTGGTAACTACCTGCACCCTGTTCTACCAGTAAGAGATGTCAGTACTCTCGTTGTCTTGTACTGCCACCACCAACCAAACCAAGAGCAGAGATCTTTTTTGCTTAAAGCAATTCGACGTCATCGCCCTTGGTCGGCCGGTCTAAGGCGCTCAAGGCGCTAAGGCCAAGCCTCAGCTGCACGGAAGCGTGTGTACGTACATGCGTGCATGCATGTGTGCGTGCTTGTGTTCTTGCTTGTGCGCGTGCACACTTGTGTGCGTGTGTGCGAGTGTGCGTGTGTGCGTGTGCGCGTGCGCGTGCGCGTGCGCGTGCGCGTGTGGGTGTGGGTGTGTGTGTGTTGTGTGTGTGTGTGTTGTGTGTGTAGGTAGCCGAAGCCAACCATGAGTGAAATCATCCTTTGCGAAAGTGTGGGTGTGTGTGTGTGTGTGTGTGGGGGTCCATCTGCATGCATATCCCGAGGTGTGTAAACGTTAGACCATGTATATACATACATGCAATACATATATATATATATATATATGCGTACACACATTCACACATTCAGACACATGAGTTTCTGTATGTGTATGCCTATACGTATACATACACACACATATGTCTATATATACACACATGTACCTCTACATCCACATCGACACCTGCACCTACATATAAATATGCGTATACACATACACATACTCGTACATGTACATATACATATACATGTACATGTACATATACATCTACATATATTTATACATACATATATATATATACACACACATATACACATACAGTCATATACACATATATGTATACGTACCTTTAATCTAATTTTGTATTATGTCTGTGTGAGCGCTTCAGTTGGATGTTTACTCCATCCGGTCTATCCGCATCTACATGCATTTCTCGCTTTGCCTTCGTATACATACAGACATTCATACACAAACGCAGAGTTACAGACGCACTGTCAGTCAGTCAGTCAGTCAGTCAGTCAGTCAGGCAGCCAAGCCAGCCAGCCAACCAGGCAGGCAGCAGGCAGGCATTCATACACATGCATCAGACATGCATTTAAATTTAGCCAAACAAATCTCATAAGAACATTTATGAGTACATGGACAAATGTATTTCCTGCCGTGAACCGCAATCCAAGAAGCAACAAGGAATCATCTTAACGTTTGCTCAAGCAGGTTTACTTCATGGTGGAGTCCCATGGCTGATCACCGAAAGAGCCCAGATGTAAGTATACTGTGAACTTCACATGGACGGAGGTGATGTTCCGCTATGGCTCCGCTCGTGGCCGCACACCGACAGCACCGGGGACATGCCACGCTTGGTCGAGCAGAGCTGACACGAGACATATAGATTTGTCGACTTTTCGTATACACAGACACGGCAAGATACACAAATACACAGACAGAGACGGATACACAGTCATATGGAAGAACAGAGAAAGAGGCGGCGAGGCAGACACGCAGACAAAAGGATTGAGTTCCGGACGTCGTCGGCGTCTGCCCTGCCCAAGGAAACTTTGAGGAGGGTGTCACAATGCTTCGCCCAACACACTCGAGGCCTGACGGCATTTCTTCCATGGGAGGCATCTGGCTAGGAGACCCCTCCTGATGGAAGTATTAAATCGAGGTCTTGTGCGGCTATGCGTGCGTGATTGCGTCCTCCAAGTCTGACGGCTCCTCTGCACCTCATAGCCAAATCGCTGTCGATGCAACACCGCCAATTGCAGATCAAACTCGGTGCTTCACAACAGCGAGTAGAAAGCAATGCAGTCGGTGCGCATTTTCGGCGTTTCATGTTCGAAACACCAGTAGCGTGTCACGGTGTCCTCTGTTCAACTCAGCCAGCGACCTTTCGCCAGCACGGTCCCCTGCTGAAGGTCTTGGGCCTGGCAAAGTTGGCCAAAAGAAACTTCTGCCAGTGAGACGACTTGTCTGCCACAGCCCAGGCCTGCACCGCCCACTCCTCCGACACGGCACTCTGAACCTGGCAACAACCGTGCATCTAATCGCCTGCGCAAGGTGTCCCGCACGAAGATAATGAAGCCAAGGAGCGACCGCCACAATGAGCAAGCAGCAGTTTGCTGCTCCGACTGCAACACTGAACATCACGAAGCCGTGCCTCACAGACCAGTGCTCGAAGGCATACAGTAGCTAGGGCGGCATCCTGAATTTGACTATTGCCCGAGATGCAAAACAGGGACACCCGGAAATTGCTCGTGCAGGAACAGTAGAGAAAACAGATTGTGCAACCGCGCCAGGCTGGGGCACAGACGGGGCCGAGGCACTCATCAGAAACAGGGACTGTATGCAAACCTGATTGCTTCTGACAGCAGCCCTTTTATCACTGCAGCGTAAGACAAAGTAGGCAAAGGGGACCGAAGGGGACGACACTACCCTGGCCTGGGCGATGTCCCCGATGGCTTTCTCCAAACCTTAGCCACGGCTCGTTGCGATGTTGCGCAGCGGGACTTCTACCTCATGGAGCTCCTGATGATGCTGAGTCCACTGCTGACCAGGTTCCCAGATGATCTGAGCGTCACTGGCTTTGCCTGGGCATTTACTACTTCCCAGATACAGCTCCAGCGCTGTTTCCCCAACATGCCCTCCCTTATGTATCCTTCTGCATGCAAAGGCCCTGGTGTCGTCTGGTGCTGCGCGGTTTCGGTATGCTTGGGCAGACATGCTGGAGCCTGTCTAGGCGCGGTGGCAGGCAGAGCTGGGCACCAAGCCACTGGAAGATCAGAAGCATCCGGGTCAAAGGGCACCACCGAACGAATGGCGGTGTTGATTAGCTGCACAGGGCAGAAGAGTCTCAGAAGCATGCTGGCGAGCGGATTCTCTGGCACAGAAGAGGTTCCCTCCCTGCGTCAATCCTTGCCAGAGCTCCTAAGCACAGCCTACGGAATGCCCCAGCCCGACCTTGAAATCGAGCAGCACGAAGCCAAAGGAAGCTGGCAGCTCCCCATCGCAGTCCGAGCAAGCGAAGCACGTGTTGAAGATCATCTGCCAGCAACAGCTCGGAAATGTGCCCAGTGAAGCCGGGGGAAATCCGCCTGACAAAACACCACGCCAAAGATGATGGTAGCCAGAGACCTTAGTTGTTCGGTGGAGATGAACACACGCAAGATCACAAATGCAAAAGCCCTGCTGAGATTGCTGCGCCCACCAGAGCGACGAACCACAGTCACGCGCAATGATGACGAAAGCCACATCGGTGTAGCTGTCCAACTGTCAGACCATCCAATGCAGGCACTACATGCCTTACATTGCACAGTCGCTGAATGGATCTGCGTTGGGGTCTTGCCGCACCTTCCACAGCACTGTAGAAGCCAAAGGCAGCCACCACCGCCGTTCCTGGCAAACGGGATTCCCTGGCATGTGCTGAGCATGTGCTGTACGCAGCCTTGCATCTACACATATCTACATGCTTGTGATTTCTTGTTTGTCAGCGGCATTCCGTAGGTGCGAGGGGCAAAGGGATCGCTGTTGCATTAGCACCGAGCACTGTGATGTCTACTTTCAGCCCGCCTGCCAGAATGACCAAAACTCGCTGGCCTCTGCAAACGAGCACATGCCTTGAAGCAATTCGATTCCCGTGGCCTAGCTGAGTCCAGCCTGCAAAAGTCCGAGCCGCTGGAGCATGGCCAGCTCCATCAGGATGGCCTTTCCCAGTTGTTCCAGAACCAGCTGCAATGGACCTTGAAAACTTCGGCAGGCAGGGCCCCTGCCATCGTCAGCATTGCCAGAACCGTTGCACCATACCTGGAGCCAGATCACGGGTCTTCTTGGCAGCCCAGGCCCCCATCAGATCCGAGAGTCCGGCAGAGTCCAGGCCCAGTAAGGCATGTTCGCCTCGCACCTGGGAGACACTGTAAAACCCAAAAGGAAGTCAAGAATCATAGCAGTAGCTACCCCTCAGTGCGCATTTGCAGCACCGGCAGGTCTGTGTTTTCCGACAATCCGAATCCCTGCCTCCATCGTGCGATACTGCACCCAGCGGTAGAGACGACCGAAAACGCGGCCCGATGCACACCAAGCAACATCCCTGCAGTGGCCCTGGCCTGTGATGATCAAGGAAAACTGCAGGGACGACCGTGATGGCGACCTTGGCAAATCGCAAACACTGCAACTGAAGCTTCCTCTCGTGGGCCAGGGGTCATGCCCACCAGCAAAGGTGGTGGAGAGCCAAGCTTTGAAGAAACCTCCCAGCTGCCGACTCTTCTTGCTGCTCTACTTTGTGCACGCATGCGTTGGGTTGAACCAAGTGTGTCGCTTACCAGCCTGCTGTACCCGCCCGCATTGTTGCAAAGCTCTTCCATGAATGCTCTGGAAGACATGCCGGATCCTCAGAAAGCTGATCCGAAAGTGCTTTGAATCTGCCTATGACCAATTAAGGGTCCAGCGGGCCGTGCAAAGTTCCATCCCATTCCTGTGCAAGGGCACTTGGGATGTAGCGTTTCTCACAATTGAAAGCGCTAGCAAGTGCTTGAAAATTGGAGGTGCTTTGCTGGGGTATCAAGCTCTGCACGTTTGACTCGCAAGCTGCCACCTTGCACTGTGGCCCCTGTGGCCTTGGAGTTCGCACTCCTTCCAATGCGCATCCGGCAGTGCCGGCCCTGTCAAGTAAGACAGTGCAGTTGGACGGCACTGAGCATAAACGGCACAAGATGCACATCGTAGGCTGAAAGACCATGGCTTGCGTGCCTAGTGTTTCTGCAAAAGGGCTGACATCTTGTCAGCCCTGCAAGGGCTGCCTCTGCTCCGCGGCTACGCACAAAGACAAGGCTTGAGTCGGTGTGATGATACGAGTGGCTGTGTACGTGATGTTTGGCTGGGGCTGTGGTCTCAAAGCCACTGCTGTGGGTCGCTGCGGGTTGTGGAGGACGAGATCTGGAGTTCGAGCAGCAAACAAAAGGACAAAGACTGCAGCCTACCGGTTCATACGAGAGCGTCGTTTAGCTGTTTACGGCGTCATCTGAACATCTACAGGTTTGAGTTGCATTCGCTTCGTTTTGCTTGACTCCTCAAGCCAATACAGCTGCGAAAGAACCCTGCAGCTGCCAAGTACGCAATTCAGATGCGACAGCAGATGCAAACAGCCAACCAGATACTGCATTAAGTGCATTAGGGATTGCTGTTGAAAGGCTCTCTTGGTTATCGCCAGGAAGAACTAACAGAGCGCAGTCCGCAAATCCCATGGTCAATATGGCAAAGCTCGGCATTTGGTGCTCTCCGCACCCATGTCCACATCGGCTTCAAGTCCCGAAGGCGTGGACAGGACCTGCCAGCAGGGGCCCACAAAAGACCACCAGTACACCAATGAGTGTTGCTCTCTGCACTTCGTCACAAACGCCCAGAGCCCCGGATACCCTGGATGCAGCAATCCAAACGGCAACGTAATCTACACACAGGCGCCTGACTGCAACCGCCGCGGAGCACACCACGCTGCAACGCGCGGTAGGGAACCTGGATAAACCGATTTCAATGCGCTGTCTGTGTCACCTGAAACTTCTTGCAGGCCTTCGCTCCTATCTTCTCTTGGAACTTTCCGAAATCTTCAAGAACGGCACGGGCCCATTCCTGCCTCCGTCAGGCTCTGCTTCGCCTTCTCCCCACGGAGGCCCAGCACGGCGGCAGCATTGGCCAAGTCGGCAGGCGACCTGCAGGCAAGAAGCCGCACTTCGGCGCATCCTTCGAAACATGTCATAGCATGGCTGGCCCCGCCCCGCCTCATCTCCAACGGGTCAAGGGCGCCACTGCTCAGCAGCACGTTCCTTCCGGGTGTCGAGATCCATGAGATCACATTCCAGCATGGCGTCTTTCAAAAGGCAGCAGCGGGATCGGGAAAAGCTTCATTGCCCCTCCTGCCGCGCGTCACGTGGAGAAGCTGCTCAAGGTTGGCCAGGAATGCCCGGCGCCGAGCTGTCGCAGTTTTTGGGAAAGTCTCTCAAATTTAATTATGTGGATTGGAGCGCAATGTTACATGTTAAACAACGGCGAAGAATTTGGATGCCAAGCTGGTGCTTGCACTCAGGAACAAACCGATCAAGGTGCGCACTCCGAAGGAACAACTTTTAGCACAGCAATGAGCCGCAGTACCTATTGCAGCAAGGCAGCACATGCTCGTGGGACCTCGCCCCTTCCGCCAGCAATGGCTTGCTGCCAGCGTGTGCTCCTGCACCCTGCAACTTTCCTCCCGCCATCGATCCCTCCTTCAAACATTCCTCCTCATTGCGTTGATAGCGTAAAATTAATATCCGATAGCACAGAAGCGAGACAGGAATCACTTCATGCCATCACTGGTTGTGTTAGCACACAAGCACCTGAACACGCACACGCGAAGCGTTTCCTTGCCTTTCAGCACGTGACACTGGAATCTCAAAATCGCGTCTCTAGAGTTCAATGCGACCCAGAGCCATGCTAAAGTTAAACTCTGGTTGCATGGAGTTTCTGCTTCAATGGTGCCGAACAGGCACTCTGCTCTCCTCTACTCTGAGCGCTGAGCCTGCATCACGAAGAACACTCCCAAACTCTAACCTCGTCATACACTCGCCCTGCAATCTTCGCAATTGAATGCTTCGCGACTGGCTACGGGTCAGTCTCAGCTACGGACTCAAAGATGCCACCACGTTCTGAGACTCTACGCTCTCGACTCCCGGCATCTTCAAGGAATGACAGCTCCTGAGGTTGTGGCGAAGGAAGGCCAGCACGTCCTGCAAGCTCAGAGACAAGAGGCAAGCTCATGGGAGTTTCCGAAAATAAGGTACCCTGATTTAGTACCCCAAATAGCAGGATCCTTATTGTAAGAACCCCAGATTAAGGTACCCCTCATTTTCGGAAACTCACACATAGTCACAGTACTCCGAGAGTCTGTGCAGCTCATGCAAGCTGAAGCACTCTCTGCACCCTTGACACGCCGGAGCCTGTCCTTTCGCTTCAACTGAAACGGAAGTTTGTCGTCCATCTCCAGAGAAATGATGTCAGACACACCCTGACAGGACATGACCACCCCTACAGGTTCAAGCATCTTGCTAGTGAAGATGCACATACGGAGTGGATTTGCCAGCTATTACCAACTTGCGAATATGCCCGGCCTTCTCACAGGCAGCCTCGCACAGATTCAAGATCAACTTTGCAGCTACTGAGTGTCACTCCACCTCCATTGCCAAGCAAGTCCGAAGCTGGCAGTTCAGTTGGCAAATCGGTGTGTCTGCAGGGCGTAGCCTGGAAAGCTTCCTCAGAAGTGGGGCGCAGGGCGAGGATGTGGTAAGATGGCCTGAGAGCTACCGCAGATTTTCATCCATCGGCTGACCTAAACTTGTGCGGCTCCGCCTCAACGCTGACGCATCGGCTGCAGCAGTCACCTAGTAGGAACAGCTCAGTAGGACAGGGCCCATGATAGGTTGCAGCAAGGAAAAATGCTGTGCAATCATCACGTGCACATGCTGCCCGGCGAGCAAAGTTTCACAGCAAAGCACCTGCGCCACATCGGCAGCACAAAGCGTCAATCCTGGCATGGCGGATGGTCCATCAGAAACACTGTACTACATGAATCTGGCTTCCAAGCTGCAACTCGAAAAAACTACTCTGCATTCTGACACCTAATCAAGCTGACAAGTCGCTGCAACAGGGAAGTTCAAAGTGACACTAAACACCGCGAGTCAGTCTCCAGAACACCAGCCGGAAGTGCGTCGCAGCTGAAGCAATGCCCCGTGCTTCTCGCTTTCGAGCCCTGCACGGGCAGCGCTCAGCAATCGGCCGGCTGAGGACTGTCCTGGGGCGGGCACCGAGGTCCGCCACGGTCGTCCGCCAGAGTGGTCCCTGCCTGCACAGAAGCAGAACGAACGACGCTGCACAGCCTCAGCTGGTGCGCTGCACATCTTCAGCTCAGGGTCGCACTGTGTGGGAGCCAGGGCCACGGGCGGCGGGATGGGGCACCTGGGAAAAGAAGATACTGGAACCACACCCACCGAATCTCGAGGTTGAACCACCAACAGAAAGTCGTGAATACGTCAGGAGAAAACTCAATGCAGGGGTTCTGCTGCTTGTTGGAACACGGTACAAATCTTGGTGGAACCTTGAAAAATTATGGTGGGAACACCCCTTTTAAACCGGCTGTGTTGTCTGTAAGTCCCCGACCAAACATGCCTGATTTTTGTGGAACAAGACATGCAGCCCGTCGATTCTACAAACTAACGACCCAAATTTGTTGATAGTCGGCAGATAGTCGCAGCACCTTCTGCAACTCATGTACTCCACGGCCCAGACATGGTGTTGAAGACTGCGGAATGAACAGATCTTGGTTACCTAGTCTGCTCAGTGCCGCAACCCGACAGCATGCCATGCTCAATTCTCCCTGAATCGCCAATCTGGTTCTCTCGAGCCACTTTGAACCGATCGCACGCACAGGCACGGAGGACGAAATCGATGGACGAGCTGCTGCTGGTGTCTCTGGCACGAGCGTGGGATTCTCCACACGCTGCTAGAAATTCGCCGGCGAGCTAGTGTGGAAGCGGAAGAGGTGCCGGTGAGGTCAATCCGTCGATGTTGAGATTCATCGAGGCCATCAGCAGCGCTGCCGGCGGTGGCCCCAGAAGGGACCAGAAGGGCCATCAGGGCATCGTGGCTTGAGCTCAACCTTGAAGCAGTCCTCGGATCTCCTCGAAGGAAGGCAGCTCCTGCGGCTCGGTGCTGGCACAGCGCTGGCGAAGCTCCTCCGACGCAGTGCTTGCACCAGGCGTCTGCTCTCTCGTGAGACATGGGAGCTCCTAAAAACAAAACATCTCCTTCAAGAGCTCCAGAGTCGCAGCTTCTCTCTCGTTCTGTGCTTCTGCATGGCTCTCCAACAAGTCTTGAAGCAGCCAGCCAAAGCTTCTGACCTCCAACCTTGCTGCGACGCATTAACACTGAGACACTGCAACCCTCAGTCACGGAGCTGTGAGAAACGTTTCGAACTTTGGAGAAGTGTCGATCATTCGAAGCAGAATTTTCGGGTTGTAACTGTCACTCACGCGACCAAACTTTGGAACTGGCACAACCTCTTCTGAAAAGAAGAGAGAGCAACGCTTGCAGGCGCAAGGATCTCACACTTTCGATCTTTAGCATTCCCACTGGTTGGCAGAATGCTTCGAGTTGCTTGGCAAAGTCTGAATTAGGCGTGTGTGACTTGGGGTTTTGTCTACATCTCATCTGAGGGCTTCTGCCGTTTGTCGCCAATGGTCCGATGTGCATGCCTAGCAAGCGAAAGATTTTACAACATGACGAAATCGCATGAAAGTGCTCAAATATTTCTGATCCTACACAGATTCCCTATCAGAGCCATGCAGCTGCCAAACAACATTAACGGAACGTGGTTTCTCGAAACTGGCACATTGCTGAGCCCCCGGGGGGGTTTTGTGGTATGCCCAAGGAAGGAAGTGCCGTCCTGCAGGCACGTATTCTCATGATTCAAGCAAGGGGGCACGAGCAGACGGCTATGGTTAAGCAGGACGTGAACATGCCGTGAAGCGACGATGGGTAGAAATACCCATCATCCTGTCAATTCGATGAAGTGCCAAGCAAAGCGTCCCGATGCAACAGTTATATTGACGACGAGGTGAATCGGACGCAGTCAGGATGCTTACCGTTCGATTTAAAGAGCTGTGGAAGATTTAGCAGAGTCGGGCTGATGAAATTCATCCCATGTACCTGCATGGAGCTCATGCTGCGGCACACTGGGCAAAGGTGCTGAAAACCACATGAAGGTTCAGTTAGGACACCTTCGCAAGTCGGGATCATCTATCGCAGCAGCCGCTCCAAAGTCAGACAGCCGCACATCCTATGACACGAGGTCAGGAGGCCAATCCAAGCTCTCATACACACCAAACTTCAAACCGTCCTCGCTATACCTGGGACATAGCATGTCACACGGATCAGCCTGTCCTTCACTGCAGAGGCGTCCTGTGCAAAGCTATCGATCTGGACTTGCAGTTGTACTTGCCCCAAGGAAAAACAGCACACATACCTCTCGACTACGCCTCGAGCGCCAAAGAAGCTTGTACATGGTTAGCCAATGTTAGACACGCATTTCAGAATGAGCCACCTCTGGACATGCCTCCGTTGTTGTGACATACCAGTTTCGCTGAAGCTGACTCACAGGTCCTTGAGGCCATCAAGCACCACGAGCGTGTTGTGCAAGTAAATGTCGCCGTGCATCAACCCCTGGCCACAAACACAAACAGTGATTGCCTGCACCGAACAAAATTAACGGCGACAATACTCCCAAGCCTTGCTATGGAGGTACGCACCCGCGGCTGCAACGTTGGAAGCAATGCGGCATGCGGCTGTGACGGAGTATATGGGGCCAGGACCCCCGTGGCACGGGAGGGCATCACCTAAGCTCTCGTGGTCGTAGGGCAGTACCAGTGCCAACGCTTGATCATAGTCATCCGGCCGACAGGCCAACCTCAACCACTTATTGTACTGAGCAGCGTGTCACTGTCTGGAACGTCGGTGGGCCCGCCGCAGCTTTCGCTCCTTCCAATAACTCCAGGACCATGCCTTGCGAGCAGCCATGAGCAGCCCATGACACGGTGATGTGGAAAACATTCAACTACAGACCCCAACGCTTCACAGCTGCTGTCAATGAGGACCCTTGACTTTGTGATTTAAAGTTTGGGCCAGGGCTGCCACGTCGGGGCTCTTCAAAGGTACCTGGGCCCATGCACGGTGTCACATCAGTGCCCAGGTTCTGAACTGTCTACCGGTACCAAACGCTAAACGTGCCCAAGCACCCAAAACAGCCACCAAGCATGGGTGACCGGGTTGTGAAGCCACGCGATTGGCGGCCCATTCTGTCCGTGCAGTTCCATCCGAAAAGCACTCCGAATCCCAGATCTTCACAGCAACCTTCTGGTCTCGCCAGGTTCCCTCGTGCACTGTCGCCCCGGCACCGCTTCCCAACTTCTCTGCCAAGCGAAGCTCTGTGAAGTCCAAGCTCCTTGGGCCCTCGGCCAGGTGCCGCGTCAGAGCTTTCTCGGCAAAGGGGTTGCCCCCCAGGGCCAGCCAGGCGAGGCGAGGATGCTTCAAGAGCGCTTCGGGGAAGGCCTCTAAGGCGTTCGCAGCGGCGCGGATCATCTCCAAGGAGGCCATCTGAGCAACAGGGGCCAGAGCCTCGCAAGTGAGCCTGTTGTGACTCAGCATCAGCTTGCGAACTTTCTGAAGCCGGTCCATGTTTGGCAACTCCGCGATCTGATTGCCCGCTGCAATTAGCCACTCCAGGCAGGTGGGCAGCAAGCATCCGTCCAAGCTGGTCAGGTTGTTGTCTTTGATGCCTCATGTCGGGGCCAGCGAATTTCAGAACCGGCAGAAAGGAAGCAAGAGTGTTTCAATCCTGCCTAGCATTCGCAACCGTGGGCACAAAGACAGGTCCGGAAGTGAAGCCATTCCTCGGTCTAGCACACGACTGCCTGCGATTCACATAACCAAAGCGGAGGTGCGCTTCTTTCCAATCATGCCTGGACTCCAACATTGGAGGCGAAGAGAATTTCCAATTTCGGCAACGGGCAGACATCTGGAAAGCTTTGCCTTGGGCTTACAAGCGATTCCGGCAGGAAAAGAAGCGGAATGGTGTGGAACAAGACCTTTCCAAACCCTGGCGAGAACGATCGAGAGGTTCACTCCAAGTCACAGGGGATTTCCTCCGATATCCAGTTGAATGAGCTGCTCACCTGCACGAATGGCATGTCACAACCCAGCGCACATAAGAGCACTTCCAAAAAACAAACACCGAAACAAGTAAGTGCGCATGACCGTGCCACTCAGTGGCACTGCCGCAGTGCGTCTTCAGGCACTGCAGTCAGTCCTCTCAGAAAAATGCAGGAAAGCCACCATGCTCTGGCAAAGAGGCAGGGAAGCCTGCTTCCTGAACCGGTCCTGCTTTGAAGACTTTCAACACCCGGACGGAAGCCAGGATGTCGCCCTGTGCAGAAGGTGCCAACTCCAGAAGGCAGGCCCAGGCCTAGGCGCCCCCAAACGGCCCGTCGGCGCCTGCGGCTCCCGGAGCAGGGACACCGCCCTGTCGCCTGAGAGCTCCGAGGCCTCCGCCTCCGCCATTCCAATCCCGCTCAGAGGCTCCGAGGCTCAGAGGCTCCGCCGTTGAGCCCAAAGCGCTGACAGCTTCCGGTCAAAAGGCTCGAGTGCCCCCCAGGCCCGAGCGCCTCCCCAAAACTGTCAAGCTTCAAGTCCAAGCGGCTGGTGTGAACGCAAGTCAAGGACTTGCTGCCCCGACAGGGTGACGTTGTACGCAAGACCTAAGCCGCGGCCATCCGTAGGTGAGCTAGTGGCCACACCTAACATGCACCGCTAAGCAGCCAGCCCGCGTAGCCGAACCTGCACGAAACACGCGTTCACATGACTTCTCTCACCCTGGCCATCCGGCGTCGAAATTGACTCGAAAAGCCACCTGCTATCATCAACAAGTCTTTGTTTACCTGAGTGCCTGAACCCCCACCCCGGCCTCAGGGCAGTATCAGCAAACGCCGCTGCACGCTTGGCATCCCAAACGACATTAAGATCCCAGAACATTCGACAACTCGCAGGCGAGAAGCGCAGCTAACATAGTCGAGTATGGTACTGAAGCTGACAGCTGACGACAGCAAACAAGTATTCCCATTGTTCCTTCTAGAATGCGTCCATGCCTGTGTGAGAGTCGCCCCACCTTATGTACGCTTATGCTAAAACGTCGGACTTATTACTCTGGGCACGGACATGGCAGGAAAACTCCTGCACAAGTCCGGGCCGTTGCAGGGTGCTAGCTCTGCGGTGTTCCAGTTGACATGACGGTGGCAGCCAAATGCTCCGTCGGCGCATATACACATGTAGCGGGTGAAGAATGCACCGTACTGCAACTTCATGATGCTACACGTGCGAACGTGCAGGCTGACTGGTGCAAGGACTCACATTTTCTGAACACCCGCGCACAGGCAAGCTACACGTCCACGCCTCTCATGATGGCAAATTCGACGAGAGAATGCACTAGGTTCAACCTGCTGTGGAATGCTTGACACATCTGACACCGTATGGACCTCTCCGAGTGTTAGGGCATGAGCATGCCGACCGAAGCTCTCACCACTATGTGCCCGCTATTACAGCACGAGGAAAACAACTAGCGTTTCGGGCTTTTGTAAGACTGACTGCAGACAGCAATCCTGTTTCGTCGTCTGACTAACGGGCATGAATGTCATCCTTGTCGTGCGCCTGAAAAGATCTTCACGGACCTTACTGTGCTCACGAGGCCATCATGCTAAGCTGCTACAGCTGCTACTGGGCACGGCAGTTGATCAATCATTGGCCATGTCAAGGAAAGGTGTGGTATTTTCTTCCGTACAGACTAATGTCATCCAAAGCCTTCCGACAACTACCACCGCAAACGAGGGAGCGTGGGGAGAATGAGGAGCTAGATCACAAGTATCTTTTTATGTCATCGTCGTTTCGGTTTTCTTGTCATGCCCAAAGGCCCTCTCACTTGCAAGGAGTCCGGTAAACATAACAACAATTATAACAACAATAATAATAGTAATCATAATAATAATCATAATCAGAATCCTAATAGAAATGATAATAACCTTGGCCATGCCACGGACTCTGTCATACACCGTGCCAGTGAAATCAACTGCTCTGCAATCAGCTCCAAAAGCGCAGCCCTTCAGGCTGCGTCGATGCACCCAGAAGCTTCTGACTCGTGGAGAGATTGGCATTTAGCTAGGTGTACCCTGCAGTGGCTCCGGGGCTTCGCGTTGGTACGTCCTCCGCAAAAGAACCCAATGGAGGAGTCTGAAGCATCCGGACTGCTGCATTGTTCCGTTAACTTGTCCGAGTTTCATAACCCTAAATTTGTTGGTGCCTCCAGCACCACAACATCTTCTGCATCACTAGAAAGCATCACAGCAAGTCTGTTGGTGCCAGTCTCAAAAGGAGGCACTGACCAAAGAATCCATGGCTGAGAGGAATTCTGCAGAGTCCAAATGGTCTCAAGTTGTGGGCAGGATTCTTTGAGACGGTGCCCAAAAGGCGAGAGCACTTCTCACTGCTGGTCCTTCTTCTCCGCCTTCTCCGCCTGCTCGAGGGCCTCGATGCCCTCGATGAGGTGCTGCATGGCCTCCTCGGCCGTGTCGGCGAAGCGGAGCTGCTGTGCGTCCCAGTCGGAGATCATGCCGTAGTGGACGAAGGCGTCCCACTGGATGCAGTCTTTCCAGAACTTCTTGCCGATGAGCACAATCGGCAGCTGCCGCTTGATCTTGCCCGTCTGCATCAAGGTCAAGAGCTCGAAGAGCTCGTCGCACGTGCCAAAGCCACCCGGAGCAACCACCAAGCCCATGCACTTGAAGGCCATCCAGAACTTCCGGGTGAAGAAGTAGTGGAACTCGAAGCCCAGCTCCGGTGTTACCCACGGGTTCAGGCCATCTTCAAAGGGAACCGAGATTCCTAGGCCGATCGACTTGCCCTTGGCCAGGGCAGCACCCTCGTTGGCCGCTGCCATCATTCCAGGCCCACCGCCTGTGCCCACGTGGTATTCGGCCAGGCCCTGTTTGCTACGCTTCATGCTCCACTCGCTGAGCAGCCGGCATGTTTCCCGGACCACGTCGAACATGCCGACCAGGAACTCCTGCTTCTTTAGCCTTACAAGAGCCGACTGCAGCTTCGCGTCGCCTGGATTGGCCTTCACCTTGGCCTCGGCTTCCTTCACCGCCACCTCGTACTGATCCTTCGGCTTCGCTCGCGCGGACCCGAAGAACATCACGATGTTGTCCACGGAGTTGGCGTTCAGCCGTTCCTTTGGTTCCTCAAGCTCGCACATGATGCGGATCAGCCGGGCCTCCGTGGAATTCAAGAAGTCGTTGTTCTTGTACGCCTTCGGGGGCTTCGGGCCACCCGCATCGGCACCTGCCACCTCGTCGTGGCCGCGCTTCGCCATGGCCGCCCACGCAGGAGGAGGGACTTGACTTCTTCTTGCTAGCCTTGATCGCGACAGCAGCATCAGTCGCAGACGGTAGAACTTCACAGGAAGACAGAAGGGCAAGCGAGAAGGGTGCAGAGCTGCTTAAACTGCGAGTTACCGTCCTGACCCTTTCAGGATGCGCCACAGAGCCGAAGAAACCCCAAAATCAAGGTTTCGTAGTCACCGCCAAAAGGTGTCGCTCACCCACAGCCACGCAACGTCGTATCATCCATCGGGACTTCGGTAGCTACTAAGAGCAAACTAGCTGGTTGGCCAGCCAGCCAGGGAGGCAGGTAGGTGCAGGTAGATGTAAGTAGCCGAAGTAGCTGTGCGCAGCTGCAAGTGGCTGCAGCCAGCTGTTGGTGAGGTAGGCGGAGGTAGGTGTGAGGACCGACCCACGGTTGTTACCGCAGTCGCCACATGATTCGCTCCGGCTTCTCTGAGGCGCATAGCACCGTTGCATCGTTCTCTGGCAACGCCTGTCGCCGATGTTGAACTAAGAGAGCTGAAACGCGACGAAGCCTTTGACGTTGGCTCGTGTATCTGCTAAAGAAGTAGAAGCCAAACTGCCTATGACACATCGCATACACTCTTGATTTTCACCAGCTCTGCTCTCAGCTGAAGCTTGCAAGTGTAAGCAGGAGACAGCCTTCGTCTCGATGCGTCTCACTCGCACTGACTGATGCCTCGATGGAGACATTGCCATCCGACATCGAGGCTAGAGCTCTGGGGGTCTGTCTACAAGGCAGATGACTAAACGCCTCGAAATCGCAGAGGTGCCTCCACGCAACAGGCTACCCGATCTGCGGAGGTCATCAGGAGTCCAACTTTGACTACCGCGTCCTGCGGCCTGCTTCGGCCCACGCAGAGGTATAGATATCATTACAGGCACCTGGGTTCATCTCGAGCTAACCTTTCCGGCAAGACATCTCACACAAAGCGGAGCAGTCTTGAGCACCCGCTTGCTGCTTGGGAGAACCCAGATGCCCCTACCCTACAACCAATAAGTGCAGGAGATTCGGCGCTCAATGCTGATCACTGACACTACGCAGAAAACTCTTTCAAGAGTGCTGAACTCCATTCCACGCGCTGACTCTCCAAGCCTCTTTGGGCCAAGTTGCTGCACTCAAACCATCGAGAATATGATCATACTTAGTGTCGTTTTCGGTGTCATTGGCTGGGACAACTGTTCCACCTCCCAAACAGACACGGGCTAGAATCCCGCATTCGTCAGTGATGAGCACAACTCATCGACGCTTTGCGGAACAGTTGCCTTGTATATCTACCGCCGGAGCAAAGGGACGGCCATCACAGCCTGGCCACACTTGCACAAGTGTCAAGGATTGTACATAACTTAGCCTTGAACCGAAGGCCGTACGATGTGAAGTTTAGAGCTTCGACGGCAACAAAGCAGGTCCGAATACCCTCTTCAATAACCAGAAGAATCGCTGCAATAACGACATTCCCTACTGCTGGCGTTGTGACAGCGACGGGAATGGTGCCCAACATCATGACCATCCTGAATAGTCATGTCCATGATGAGCCTATCCGCAAAAACACGCTGCAGCACATGTCTCCTTTTCTATTGTTCGAGTCTCCCTCTTCGACTTTTTGACAGGATATCTCCAGATGCTTAATTAGTTAGGGTTCTCGCCATCCTGCACTCTGAGAAGAGTGGTGAGTTCTGTAGCTTGGATCGAAGCCTGGTCAGTTTCAAAGCGCAAGTCGTAGCCGCTCAGGGCACGTACTGATCGAGCTGTCGTTTGCACGGCTCGGAACACATGACAGCTTCTTTTCGTGGCTTTGGCTATTGGGCTTCGTCCTGCGGTTGCGATAGATCGGATCTGCGCCGAGCCCAGCGTTACTCTCCAGGGCCGTAAAGCTCCAGGCAGATAGTGCTGCGTCTGTGATTCAGACCACAGGGTTGTTGAAACATGTTGAGCGCAGTGGAAATCCGCACTTTAGCCGAGCGCGACGAAAGAAGCGCCGATCAGGTTGGGAACATTTTCTTTGTCGTGACTGCGGCTGCAGCCATTCCACAGATTCAAAGGGGTGCTTTGTCCCTTTAAGATCAAGCCCAACTGCAATGACTCCTTACACGTACTCCTCGGACCCTTCACTTCACATGCCGGAGTCCGTCTAGCACACTGCAGTGCGGATGACCATGCATCCCCGTTTCTGCAATGCAGGTAGACATGCCTAGACCCAACATGCCTAGATGCAATATAATATGACATAAGATAACATCATATCATACAGTATAATATATCAGATCATATTATTTTATATTGTAATATATAGTTGTATTGTATACATATATATAAATATATTATTATTATTATTATTATTATTATTATTATTATTATTAGTATTATTATTATTACTATTATTATTATTACTATTATTATTATTACTATTATTATTATTATTGTGAGTAAAGGACGTGCCCTGTGCCCACCGGCCTTGGGCTGCGGCTCAGGGTCTCAATTGCCCGCACACGCGGAGCCTGCGCGCGCGGAATGCGGCCGAGGCCACGGCTGGAGATGGTCCGGGGCTCCCCTTAAGGATCCTAGCATTTAGGGGTACCTTTTTGTGGAGTCCTTATGATGAGGACCCTACCATTTTAGGGGCCCTTATAAGGTACTATATAGGGGTACTATTTTAGGGTACTACGAGTATATTAGGGTACTATGTTAAGGTACTATCGTAGGGTCCCCCATTTTGGGAAACCATATAAGTCCCCCCTTGCTGTACTCAGGCTGCTCAGGTTCAGGCATTCGGAGAGAAGGTGCCCGGAGAGCGAACTTGATACCTGCACCGCACACGGACGTGGCAGCTTTGAGCTTGCCAAAGGCACTCCGGGCCACAGGCGAACGAAGGCTTTTGCCGATCGGCTGTCTCGTGGGTGCTAGCTGCTAACTTAAGCCACATGCCACATGTGAAACGGGCCAAATGCCCTTGAAATGAGATTGGCATGGTCAAAACCTATTTAAGTATACAAGATGATCCGAGTTCCGCTCAAGTCAGGCACTCCCGTGTTTTTAGGAGAGCCCAAGCTGGAAGATGGGAAGAGTCGTGGCCAGGTCACTTCACAACTCTAGCAAAGATGCGGTAGCAGTCTGGAGTGTCCTTCGGGTGCCTCCTGAACAGGATAGACCGATTCGATGCTAGCCAGGCCCGATTTGAGCCCGTTTCCACTCCTGCCATTCAAATCGCCAGCAAGCATGCAATGGGTGGGTTCCTATCCTCTCACTGCAACTTCGAAGCTTTGACGTTCCGTTGTGCTCACTGCTGGTCCTTCTTCTCCGCCTTCTCCGCCTGCTCGAGGGCCTCGATGCCCTCGATGAGGTGCTGCATGGCCTCCTCGGCCGTGTCGGCGAAGCGGAGCTGCTGTGCGTCCCAGTCGGAGATCATGCCGTAGTGGACGAAGGCGTCCCACGTGATGCAGTCTTTCCAGAACTTCTTGCCGATGAGCACAATCGGCAGCTGCCGCTTGATCTTGCCCGTCTGCATCAGGGTCAAGAGCTCGAAGAGCTCGTCGCACGTGCCAAAGCCACCCGGAGCAACCACCAAGCCCATGCACTTGAAGGCCATCCAGAACTTCCGGGTGAAGAAGTAGTGGAACTCGAAGCCCAGCTCCGGTGTCACCCACGGGTTCAGGCCATCTTCAAAGGGAACCGAGATTCCTAGGCCGATCGACTTGCCCTTGGCCAGGGCAGCACCCTCGTTGGCCGCTGCCATCATTCCAGGCCCACCGCCTGTGCCCACGTGGTATTCGGCCAGGCCCTGTTTGCTACGCTTCATGCTCCACTCGCTGAGCAGCCGGCATGTTTCCCGGACCACGTCGAACATGCCGACCAGGAACTCCTGCTTCTTTAGCCTTACAAGAGCCGACTGCAGCTTCGCGTCGCCTGGATTGGCCTTCACCTTGGCCTCGGCTTCCTTCACCGCCGCCTCGTACTGATCCTTCGGCTTCGCTCGCGCGGACCCGAAGAACATCACGATGTTGTCCACGGAGTTGGCGTTCAGCCGTTCCTTTGGTTCCTCAAGCTCGCACATGATGCGGATCAGCCGGGCCTCCGTGGAATTCAAGAAGTCGTTGTTCTTGTACGCCTTCGGGGGCTTCGGGCCACCCGCATCGGCACCCGCGACCTCGTCGTGGCCGCGCTTCGCCATGGCCGCCCACAGAGGAGGGTTCACGTCAGAGGATGCTTCTGAGAGGATCATGACAGAAGCGAGCAGCAAGGTCTACGAGCACGTGATCTGAAACAGGCGAATGAAGCCAAGCTCTGACTTTGACAACACGGAAGCAGAAATCGAAACAGACTGAGAGTCTCAAATGGAGTCTTGAAAGCGGAAAGCAACAGGCCAAGGCCTCACGACGCGTAAGCCAGAGTGTATGTACCTGTCCCGTGCTCAAACTTGCAAGCGGAGGTCTGCAAAAGGCTGCAGAACATGGGAACCTGATCAAAGTGATAACATCCCTACCGTTATGTCAGCAGGACCGCAGTTCAAGCATGGGAGCAAAGAAGATCGAGGCTTCGACGCTGTGTCCTTCGGCATCGTGGCTGGCACGACGGAGAAGTCTCCGAAGACGTGCACCCCTGCAAGTGTCAGACTGTAATCTCGAAGTTTCAGGCTTGACGTCACAGTTTCCAGGGCCCTCCCTCCAATCCAAAACACTATCTGCAAAAGATCTCCATATTCTCTGCAGCTCACCTTTGAAGGTCTTCCAGACCCGTTTGTTGGGTTTGGGATTTCGATGTGGAGGTACTATTCTGGGCGCAGCACTTCGCTCCCGTTCGGAGCGTGAGCTCGGGATGGCCGAGCTTGTGGGATCCCTGGCGACGGGCAGAGGAATTTCAGATCTTCGCTGGGGAATTGGGGCGGATTCTTTCGAGCAAAGCACAGCTCAAGAAGAACAGCTCAAGCGAGGAGAGGAGGACTGCTGGATGTGCTCACGCACCTGCAAAGGCTTGGCTTGCCGACCCCTTCACCTGCATCGTCTACGGCGTCCACGGCCTCATCGGAGTTGCAATGATGTCGACTTCGTACCTGACGGCCGGTGTGAGAACCGAGATCTAGGGAGGTCCGGCTGCTGAAGTGCTGCCTTCTTGGTGGCATGGCTCTTGCGCAAGCCACGGTTCTCGATGTCCACCAGCTCATCGCCCACCAAGTATTTCTGCGAGACGGCTACAAGGAGAAAGTCTGAAGCTGAGAAACAAAGCCACCAGACGCAAAGACGCTGAGAAGTGGGAGTTCAAAGCAGGAGAGAAAAAGAGCCAGAGCCCCCAGAAAGACTCAAAGGCCGTCCTCTGCGCCCCCTCGCCGTGGCGAGAGCTCCGGCTGCACGGCCGCCGCCTCTGAGATCCACCACTGCGCACTGAGCAGCCTTTGCGCCTTTGCTCGTCTGAGCTGGGAGCCATCTCGCCACTGGTTCGATGCTGAACTGACACCGTTGCGGATGCCTTTCCTGCCGAAACGAGGCAGGGATCGACCAACCAATTCCGCGATGGCTTCTGCGCAGGCTTGCCTGCTGGGCTCAGGGTGTCGGCCAAGGCGGCATCGGCCAGTCTGCCGAAAACCATCGGAGTCAGACAAGCTCAATAAACCCCAGCACACAAACTTTGATGGCCTGCGCGGGCTGAGAGCACGCAGCTCCTCCATGTCTTCTATGTAACAGCACACCCGTCATCCCACATCAACTGCATCAGCCGTTGACAGGCAGCGGACACACGAGTTTCGGCTTCTTGCAGAGCAAGCAAGACTCGGGGTCATGGGGTTATCCGTTGACTCCATCCCACATTGCTTTCACGTAACTGTCGCTTGACCGTGATCACCAAAATCAGGATCCCACCCCCGCTATGACATGCAAACCGCTCCTCCACATGCTTCGCTGCCTGGCCCGTGAAACGGGACATGTCGTGTCAACAGATCACAAAGGCTTGCCATGGCATGGCATGATTTCCATTTCCAGCCTGAGGATTCTCCGAGAACTGGTGTCGACGATTGTTCGGTGGTGGCTCTGGCACCCTGACAACGAGAGGTCGGTCTCTCGTCCCCTAGATTACAGTGTGGCTGACGTGTTTAAGCATACTGACTGCGCGACTGTATCTGTCTGAGATACTCTTTCCCGGGTCTGTTCAGACAAATGTGAGCACCATGATTGAGGAATCTTACAAGCACCCTTAGAACTTCGACGGTGCGTCCTGGCCTGTGTGCTTCGAAGCGCATCAGCTTCTTGGCGATCTCAGGGTCCTGCACATGCAGGAACGAACGGATCAGACAGCGAAGCCTCACCATTCATGACTGCTTCGAATGACGACAGCCGCCGGAGCCTTGTTCAAGCCCGTTCTCTTTCCGCGGGAAAGTTGAAAATTTTCGCCTAAAGGCTGCGCGAGTGCGCGGAGTTGAGAGCTGCCGTGGCAACTGCAACTGCTGCGCTCATGCCGGATCGAGGCCCGGTCTGTTTGCAATGGCCGCAGCTGTCGGCTTGGCATCCTGTCAATGCGCAACACGACGTCAGCGCTGATAATACTCTCATTCTCTCTGTGATTGCAACACTCTTCTTTCAGGGCGTTGGGGTGACAAGATGGTGGTAGGTGATAACCGGAATCTGGAGGAACCGAAGACATGCTTTTACACTGAAGGTTCCCGGCTAGTCCCCCGATTGGTCGAAAACATGCATGAGTTGTCTTTATGGTCCCAGCAGCGCTAACTTCAGAAACTCACGCTCTCTCTTGCTTGCTTGCCGGGCGTTTAGGAAATGGGGCGCGGGTCCCCCCCTTCCCTGCGCGCTGCGCTATGCCACTGTTCGTGTCTGGTGACACGCTCTTCTTCCGCCGGGCATGAGGAGGTGTTAAGCCCCCTCGGCCACTAGGGCCCCCCCAGATTTTGTGGGGACTTTGGAGGAGTGTGAAAAGGTCTTCGCAGATATTTTCCCCTTGGAAGATCATTTCAATAGAACCAATAAGAATCGGTAAACCTTCAGTAGTCCCCCAAGGGGCTCCATCTACTCTGTACGTTCGATGGTCCGGATTTCCGCCGAAAACAACCTAGTAAAACAAGTAGGCCAAACGAGCAGAAGTCCCTGTTTCCCCGACCATCTGTTGTGCTACGTTGAGGCAAGTTCCCCCATCAACAACAACAGGATATAAAGGGTAAACCATTCACTTCCGGGGTTCTGCCTCAGTGTTTGCTCGACCCCGGTTCGTCGTAACGAAGGTTAAAGTGAATCAAAAAGGCGATGGTAGTTCTAGTCCCCCCGGGTCGAACATTCGAGACTGTATGTATTGCATATATCCTCCTTCCTTTTTGTCATGACAAACAACAGCTTGCAAGGTCAAGAGATACAACAGCCTAAACAGTTGACACTTCAGGAGGTATGCAAGTTTTCAAGGGCGTTTGGATGCTCCACATCCCCTCAGTGCTACTAGGTTGGGTTCGAGGTGCCTCCATCAATTGCGCAAGCCAGAACAACAGCTCGTAAAACCGGTAAAAGATCTCAAACAAACTGAAACACATCTGGAGGTCCTTCGGAGTTATTCTCCCCTCGTGATTGGCTTCGAGTTGCGAGTGGGCATGGTGGGCTCCAAACAAAGCTAGCCTAGACCAACACCTCAAAACAACCTGGACCCTAAAACAAGCCTCGGATCCCCCCATGCAACCCCAACATTTAGCCAGCTACCTCCCCCGTGCCATCAGGCCGTCACTTCTGCCATCTCTCAGGAGTTCTCGTGGATGTGCTCCCCCAGGATGCGCCGGCGACGGTGGCTTGTGTCGGAGCTCGGGCTCGGGCTTCGCGGTCTTACTGTCCCTCTCCCCCGAGGGCTTGGCTCGCTCTCAGGAGTCCAGCCGTGGTAGAGGGCCATATCCCCCATTCCATGGTGTCTGTCAAACCGCCACCATGCGTCCTCTGTGTCGGGTAGTCCTTGTTTCTGTTCGGGGATTTGCCGCGAAATCCCCCGTAGGAAAGCCATTGCTGCTTCCTGCACTTGCGGCAGGCGTTCCCCGGGCCACGTGGTGATCCCCCCAGACCATTCTTGGAGCTGGCGGACTGCGTGTTCCCAGGCTTCAAGTCCAGGGGGTCTCTCCACCATGTTCGACTCGTGGCTCCCCGCGGCCATCTCGACGACGTTCGAGGGGTGGGTGAGGGCATTCCCCCGTAGCAGTAGGTCGAGCGCTTCCATTACTGCTATCAGCTTTGCCCAGTCCTCTGTTGTCGTCTTGCCGTCGAGGATGTTGTTGAGCGTCCTCCGCAGCGGCTCCAAGATGGGCGGCAGTTGGATCCGCACCGCAACATCCCCCATGGGTAGCTCGGAGAACCATTGCATCAGGGCAGCAACGTGTGGTTCGAGGTGCCCATAGCTAATGCATGTTCCCCCTAGAGACAGCTGCTGACGTGCTATGTTGAGCATAGCTTTGACTGCTTTGGCGGCTTCAGTGCGAGGTGAGCCCGGGGCTTGAGCCAAAATGGTGACACGCTCTCTCTCTCTCTCTCTCTCTCTCTCTGCGATCTGTGTGACTACAGTAGGCATTAGTAGATATACATATTCATGTCTGTATATGCATATGCACATGCCGAATCGCTTGTTTATGTGGCTGCAGATGTGCGCATGTTTTGCGCATCTATGGTGCATGTACGTACTTTTTGCATGGTATGTGAAAAGGCGCGAAGCAAGCCACACAAAGTAGAGGCAGATAGACGGTTCGGGACGGTTCGGAACGGTCCGAACGGTTTGGGACGGTTCGGGACGGCTCGGACGGCTCGGGCTCGGAACATTCGGAATGGTGGTAAACGGTTCGGAACGGCTCGGGTCAGAACGTCTCGGAACCGCTCGCAACAGCTCGGGAAGTCTTCGAGCAGACTCACAGCAACTCCACCTGACAGTTAAACCCTTACCCCTGAGAATGCTTAAGACTAGATTTGCGTCGCATGTTACCGCATATTCGATTCCCATTACACCCCATCAATGGCCGTGGGGGGCTAACCTTCTTAAAGTTGTGTTAAGCATTCCCAGGGCTTCCCAATGTATGTATGTGTGCGTGTATGTATGTACGCATATATGTAAAACTAGGCGTGTAAGTGAGTGAGGTAGTGAGTGACTGAGGCAAGCAAGTAAGTGTCTATCCATCTCAGACCTACCTTATTTATCTACCTACCTACCTATCTACTTGTCTACCTATCTACCTCTTTACTTATCCAGCTATCTAGCTATCTATCCTTCCATCTGTCTGTCTGTCTACCTATGTACCTGTCTACCTATCCACCTCTGAGTCTCTACCTCCTGGATACACACATACCCGTACCCTGCCCCGGCCATGCCGTGCCTCACGTGACACTACAAATCCTTACATTAGTGCATGTTGTATTACACTGGATTGCATTGCATTGCACTGTGCGGCATTGCAATACGTGCATGACTAGGTACATACCGTCAAAAGTGCAATGAAATACAACACGATGAATAAGTGAATCGATGCAGACAGACCATCCTGCTTATGAGCCTAACTATTGGCCGACGGGCCTACACGGAAATCTAAGAGGCGCATCCGCACACATTCACATGCAAGCAGTCATTGACCCCGTCCTGCTCGAGGCACATGTGCACAGATGAATGAATGAGGTACACATCCACTTATCTTACTTCATACATTGGCACATTACATAAATTCGTGTGCCTGTGGCTGTCGTTCTTGGAGGACTCATATCTATGTTTGTTCCCTGTCTTGGACTTCATGTCCCCCCGCAAGCTGCCCGCGAGACATCCGCACCTCGCCGTTCATCCTCAACCTGAGTCTTCAGAGTGTCGCATCGGGCCGTGTCTGGATCGAGACGGGTGCTTGACGGCCGTTCGCTTTGCAGCCGTCCCGCACAGTGTGATCAAAAGTCCGTTGCCAGCTGGGGTTAAGCGGTTAAGCCACCTTGCTTGCACTGCTGTCACCGAAAAGTGACATCCATTGCAGAACTTGTTCCGAGGCAAACCAGTGTGAAACTTAAACTTTGCACCACTGAAACGAAGCAACAAGAATGAAAATGCCTGACAAATGTGAGTTCACGAAGTGTACGGCGAACGCTCATGTCTATACTGGGGCCCACACCAATTCTCCGAGTTCCTTGTGATCTTGCCTTGTGTCTGCAAATGTCCACACAGCAGAGTGGCACTCTCTTCAGTGCCTGGAAGACCGCAGGACCGAAGCTTTGCCGACGTAGTGCTCAGCTTGCGGCCACTGTGCATTCGCCGCACTGCAGAGCTGAAGTTCGACGACCTTGCAGATAACACCCACATCCACAGCCCCATGCGGTCCCATAACTCAAAAGCTTGCATTTTGTGGCTTGGCATGCTTGGCAACCAGACGGCATCGTGCGGTCAGCTTTAACCGCAACCGGGCTGGGATCACGTGGGCGCGAGTACCTCGCCAGGGCTTCACACAGGATGGTTGTGGCTTCCAGTTACGCCTCCCGAGCTGCCACAATGCAGCGATCTTAGCTGGGCTCACGCCATCCAGTCCTCGGACATGTTCCAGTTGGGACTGGGCACCCTGGCCGCTTGTGTTCGGATACCGCCACGGACAGCTGCACGGATCGGAAACAGCAGGGAACTGCAGGGACTTGGCACAAGGCGTCGGGAGACAATGATAGACGACTTACCGGATGGCCGCTTCCGCCTTCCTAAACTCAGCCAGCCTTGATGCTGCGCTCGGACTTCGGCAGTCTCGATCCTGTGGCACATCGGCACATGCCAGTTACACTCGCATGCGCATCGTTGCATTGAATGCAGCAACGAATGCCCTGAGCCGTCCTGTCCCAGCGTGTCTCGAGGACTAACATCGCGTTGTCGAGGGCTCGCATCCACGCGGGCACTTAGTGGTCGTGCGCTGTCTGCCCGAGCACTGAGCTGTCGTGCACTCATCCGATCTGGCAAACATTCGGACCTGCAAAAGGGACACAAGCTCAACTCCACACGGTGCATGTACACACACCGAAGGTGGCAGCTCGGTATGAGCGAAAGCGGCCAAAGCCCATGAAGTCAGCACTCGGCTCCCGAGCCCTTAAACGGCGCCTGCCGCGGCTGAAGCTGCCGCCGCCGCCGCCGCCCCGAGTCGGCACAGTGAGTTCTATCTCCGACTTCACCTGACACAGCAACGAAAGTCGTGTCCAACATGAGCCACTTACCCCAGCCCACCTTGCTCAGATTCCTCGGTGTGCGAGGGCTGAGCCAGAACGACCTGCCAAACAGAGGGAAGCAAAACAACAGAAACCTAGCATGTACGGAAACGTGCATAACGGCCAGTCAATCATGCCAGACAATCTCATCAGCACGGTCGAAGAGATTAGCTGGCTTGTCCTGGCAGGTGGAAAAGATTACAGTACTCCAACAAAAATATAGTCTTCAAGCAGAACCCCAACAGCAGCCCCTCACACAGTGCATGTGTGCAACACGAGCATGTTCTTACCTCACACTGTTGCGATTCTATATCAATCTTTGCTTTGCTCTACGTTGGCAAACGCACCGAACATTCTGAGGTGCACGGCCCGGAATGTCGCCCGCGCTGACCTTATAACGCACCAGATCAGGTAGAGTTTCGGTGAACATGAAGGGCAAGCTGCTTCGTCGCAGTTCCAGGAGTTCAAGGGGTTTAGGGACTGGCAGATGCCTTCCTGACTACAAGTAGCATCTTGAGTCACGGTTCTCTGCGAGTTCGACTCAATGCTTTACTTCGCTTGTGGGGTCCCCGCATGCTCCTTCGAAGAGGGGAGCGCGGCGATAGAGACCGTGGCGAGCGGCTTCCAAAGAGGCCTGCGCAAGAGGCACTGGATATCTCAAAACTCGTGACGTGCTGGCCCATCTCGGCTGCCACAGGCTTCAGATGCAAAATTGGACCACCTAGCTGCGACGTAGCTGCATGTTGGGCTGCCAGGGCAGAAGGTCTCCAACGACAGAAACAAATAATCCGACGAGCCGTTTGACGAGCAGCAAAGACCACAGCAAGGACAGCAGACGTGAAGACAAGCCGAAGTTGAAGGCTGACACGGCATCATCCCGCATGGTCAGAAAAGAGTCTAACGTCACAAACAGTCAAGCTGACAGTAAACTGAAGAGTTTCCCTTCTGCACGCTTTAAAACGACACGGAATTTAGCTTAGGGCAGCTCAGCTCACAAACCAGCTGCAGTCCAATCATGACGCGAAACACTTATCGCCTCTTTCGCCCCGAGGCGATGCATTGCGGGGCGTGGCATTCGGCGTCCTGTCATCTCTGGATTTGGGCATGCAGATACACGGCTGATGAGATAGCGCCTTGGTCGGGGAGCCCCGCTCTCGTGGCGAAACCAATCCTCCAGAACATTCGAGCATTCCGAGCAAAAGCCCAACTCGGGATTGAAGCTGATACGCGAGACACCCTCGATTCGCCTACGGAACACGTCAGACGGCGGAGAATCGAGATGAATCTAGCAAATCTAAGATTCTCCCAAAACTAAGTGTCGGAGGACAACCCCAGTCAGCAAGAGGACATAGAAGCCGCGTCGTTTTGCTGTTGTTCTGCTCATTCCTTCCCTTTTGCCCATGTAACGACATACTTGCAGTCTGTGAACAAGCGAAGCAGTCACATGTTGCAGAAGATCTCCTGTGACTCACGGAAGGTGTCCGTGGCAAAGGCTGTCGGGACGACACCAGTGCTGAACCTCGAAGAAGGCATGTAATTGACCTCATGCTTCCCTCGTCTCTTCGGGTCGCCGTAGGATGCCCTGGGCAGCTGGCCTTCTTGGAACCGTGTTCTCCAGCTTTGGGGACGTGTGGGTCACGAAACCCCCGCGGCGAAAGTCCACCCCCGATTTGTCGATCTGCTGCCAGAGTCCTGCAAGGGAAAGGGAAAACACGCCACAACACCTAGAAATATCAGGAAAATGCAGGGTATGGCCAAACATGTCACAATCATACAAGTATCCGGTCAGAAATCTGATAGCATTCTCAGCAGCCTCAATGCCAAACAACAAAAAAAAGAGCCCAGGCTGGCCGAAGCACTTTGCGCTCCTCGGCCGTGCGCGTGGCCGATGCGCGATCCCCGGCCTGACCGAGGCAGCAACACTCTTGAAACTAGGACCCCACGAAGGGTACCAGTACTATTACTATTACTATTACTGCCGGGGAGGGGGGGGGCATGGGACGTGCTCTGCGAACTGAATGGCTGAGGCCCCAGCAGATCTTGTCCATGGCAGACGATACTCTCCAGACTTAGGAGTATGGAAGACAGCACATCTGCTTTCGTTGTCGGGCGGTGTGCGCTCCTGCTGCTGCTCATGCCACTGCGACTACTGCTGCGACCGCTGCTGCCGCTGCTCCTGCTGCGAACTTCCTTTACGTACTTCACCTCAAGGCTTTGCCTGTGATTCCAGGACTTCTCGGTCCAACGGCGACGATGAAGGGTTAACTACAAAATCACCAAAACGGGGTCGTGCACCTGTCGCAATGCTAGGATGATAGCGGGCACGATTGCCCCAAGCTCTTTGACTGCGGCACGACATCAGTCCGGTTGCCCCAGAGCGGAACCTCTTGGAGGGTCCAGAGCTGACAAAAGCTGATCTGCGAAAGTCTCTGTTTCAGGATACCTTGAATGCTAGAAAGCAGAGCTATGTCGCTGCCTGGGTTTTTTGACCATGCCAAGTCCCATGTTGCTTTCGGCTGGACAGAGACATGCCCACTCAGCTGCAGGGGTGATGCTGATCTCGCCATGCCTCCAAGCCTAAGGCCCTGGCCTTGGACCCGTGATCCGAATCTCACACTTTGCAGCCAGCAGCCACGATCAGGAGACAGGGCTATCGTTGCCAATGGCCTGGCACGGCTCAAGTTGCAACCAGTGGCACACCTCGTCTTCAACTGCGACTCGAGCTCATATGGCCGTTTTTTCCACAAGACGACGTTTTGGCGCGTCTATAATATGTCGAGCTGGAGTTTTAGCACATCTGCCTGCCATGAAGCAGCATACTCAGACACCCGATGCGGAAGCCCACCAAAGCGGCAACACATGCTTCCAGCCCCTCCAGAGTATGCAAATGGCTTACCAGCCGAACGGCATCACATCACTGTTGAATCTGGAATGATAAGACATGAGGGTCCCAGCCGGCAGGCTGCTTGTGCTTCTAGCCATGCCGTCCGCAGTGACCTTCAGTGTTTGCAAAATGTTCAGAACCTGAGACTGAAGATCCTCTCCACGACTAGAGAGACTTAATGACCATGCTCTCTGGGAGAGACAACATGCCACACATCATGCCCGCTCCAGGCAGCAAATCAGCAAGGCGTGCGTGCGAGAGTCACGTCACAAACGTACAGGCCGTGAGAGCCCAACTTCTCGACGCCGTCGGCGACCCTCACGAACAGCCTGAACCTCAAGAATGCTCGAGCATACTCCCACTGCCAGGATGCTTCTTGTCGTCGCAATCTGAGTTCCCGCAATTCCGGAATGATCAATCTCTCACCACATTTTGGGACCCAACAGCATCAATGCGCTGCTGATGAACTTCTTGACGCTTTGCCAAAATGATCATCTCTTCGCGCTTTCTCTCCTGGACAAAGCATGCAAGTCTAGAGACTATGCACTGCAAGCTACTGACTTCCATGTTGCAGTTCTCGCTGCGTTTCAAGCTCCAGCATCGGGACAACAGCTCGTGTCATGCGCCTTGTCTCTGGCGCGGTATCGCTCCACCATGTCTGCCTGCGCCAATTCCTGCGGAAGCGTGACCCAAAAAGGCAGGAAATTGCTTCGTCTCACGACGTCCCGGGATGCGAGACTTCGCCGCACGCATGGGTCGAAAACGCGAGCGGCAACACGCACAGGAACTCGCGAGGAAGCCTGGTCTTTTTTTCAATCTTGGGGGTGGAAGCACAAACGTGTGATACCGGATGACAGCTTTTGTCAAGGTTCTGCCATTCGAAGTAGATCATCTCGATTCGTGAATCATGATTGCAGCACCTTCACTTGTAAGCTGCAAGATCGGAATGTCCTGCTCGATAACGAACAACTTCCGTCTGTGAGCATCAACCTTTGCACAAAACGAAAAGCAAATCTCAAACAACACGCCGCACACGCAGTCAGCCCAGGCTGAAAGGCAATCGAAGAGAGGAAGCAGGTGGCATGGTGCATGTAATCTTGAGCTCCAGCTGCCAGCTGCCGCAAATGGGATGCCAAGGCTTCAACATCGACTGGCTTGCCGTCGTCATCGAGGAAGCCCGCGCTTTGCATGGTCTGCCTGCAGTCACTGTTGTGGATCACCCCTGGCGGAAGATGCGAATGAGTCGACACCCGATTCAGGCATGCAACCAGGCTCGCTCAAGGATTCATGAGGGAATGATCTGAATGATCCTCAAACAAGAACCACAGCAAGTTTGTGCCGGATGTTAAAGCTGCTGAACTCTTGAACCAATCGAGAAGCACGACTTGCCTGATCCGAGGGTTGACCCACAGGTGCCTCAAAACTCCAACAGCCGCAATGCTCAAGTGTGAAAGACCCTTATGAAAGGTCGACATCTGAGGAAGACACTGCAAATGCACATCAAACATTGGCTTGTACCTCAGTACAGACACACCCAACGTCGCTAGTTGCAGCTTGCGCCCACCAGTCTCGTCACTCCAGGCACCGGGCTGCGGAAGCTGCACCGTGCGTGAAGAGGAGTGGAAGTCCAGCTCCCGAGCTCGCAGGCCTTTCCTCTGGCTTGCAAGGAGCACTGACTCTGAGAGACGTCAGGAGGCATCAAGACTCAGATGGTTCAATCGTTTCGGTCCTTTTCGCAGGTTCGCGGAGGCCTGCATCGCAGAGCAAGAATTTAGAACTGAATTGCACGGACTTTATTCACGCAAGAACCCAAGAGCATATGACAAGTTCGTCGTCGGTCCGGGCAGAATAACAGGCCTGGAATCATTCCGGCTTCTTGCGCCATGGAGCGCCTGCCTTCAGGGTCGAGCTACGTAGCAGTTTCTAAAAACACACATCACGCCCTTCAAGGAGGTGGTATGGGATCTAATCCAAGACCTTATACAGACTTACACGGGCCATTGGTTGGTGAACGACTCCTGCCTGCACTGCCAGCCTAAGCAGACACGGGGAGAAGCTGCAAGGAGCAATTGAAAGGTGCTCCGTGAGGTACTGATGCTTGTGCAAATTTGCACCAGGAGCAGATAGTCAGCATTTGCCTTGGCATGTTTCGCTCTCGTTCACGACAATTACGCGTGCCTCCATGTAGGTCAGCTGGGAAAAGCCACGGCATGCAGGGCTTCCGATTTCCATCAAATCTGAAGTTGCAACAGCTGCATGCGCCCTACACGAATCAAACCTTCGACCGGGACCTACATTTTCGAAGCTTTGCTCTGGTGTTTCCAAGCCGTCCAGCGCAGCTCCTGGTGTGGAGTCTGGACATGCCTTCAGACCGGCGGCACGGCCCGTCCCTTTCTTGGATGCGGTTCTCTGGTGGATCCCGCTAGACTCCTGCACCACCTCCTACGCGCTGCTTCGAGCTGGAACATCTTCGGGAGCCTTCAGTTCAGGTCCCTCAGTGGGACTGAGGTGGCAGTCGGCTTACTGCCAGCTCGCAACTTTCATCACTCGGAGCATCAATGCACCTGTCATGGGGGCTTTTTGGCCAAAGAGGACTCCCCGAACTGCTTCCTGAACCACAACAACATGCCAGTTGTTCAGTGCACCAGAACAGGGAGGGTAAGAGCTGCGACACAAAATAGCACGCAGCGGTCTCCGCCCAAGATCTTCGCAGTGCAAAGACCTGAGCAGGTGTGTGCATTGAACTGGTACATGCCTGACCCCACAAGAAGAGGCCAACTCAGTCTGCAACAGCAGAAACATCAGATGTCAAGTCCCGCACCTGATCCCGGGCCGAGGACTATCGGCCTTGACGCGTGCACAGGTGACTGCATACTGTGCTCCAGATTATGGCAGCCAGCACAAAGCATCAGGCAGAGAATATTGCAAGGCGACGCTGGGAATCAGGAGAAGCCCGTGCCTTAGATGCTCACGCCTACTTGAATCCAAAACCCATGCTCCCGAAGCACCCCGGAACAGCTTGTCAAGTGCTGAGTAAAGCCACGAGAGCATCGCCGAAACAGCTGCCACCAAAAAGCACAGCAGCAAGGAATGCCTCACGCTGAGCCGACTGACTGGATGCCACACTCCCATCCGTTATTCGTGCATGGATGCAGTCACCGTTGTGATCCCGAAACATGAGGAGCCAACCCATGGATCATGGCAATCTGCGCACAGAGAAGGGCGCATGCTGGTGGCATGGCCACTACAGGACCGAGCATGACCTTAGAAACACTGCTTGAGCAAATTTCGAAAGAATTGATAGCCACCGGTGGCTATTGCACAGCATCTTAGAATCTTCACAGTCACTGCCAATGAGTTTGTGCAGAGCTGGGTTGGCAGACAGAAGGAATCATCACCGCGGCAGCCACACCCAAGCCGCAAAGCGAAGCAGCTGCATCACGCAAACCCGCTGCGGGAAAATCCTGCAGCAGCCCATCGCGATGAATCACAACATTTATCTTTTGGGGCGGAAGCTCCTCGGGCACGATCGTTATAAAGTTGCAAATGGCACTCGGTCATATTCCTCTTCAATCCTATGTAAGCACCTCACTAGCCGTCAGTGGCCGGCGACCTCCATGGCGAAGGCAAATCTTGATGTTGCTGAAGATCCAAAATGGACCTGTCAGTCGGGAACGAACTGACGACACATTACCTTTTGATACCCGCCAGTCTCATGCTTTCAGACTGCTGCCCACGACGCCGAACACACAAGAAACAAACGTGCTCCCATCGGCCGCCAGCGCCTCGTGGCACGAAATCGCCAAGAGCATGAGGACCACACAACATGCCTGCCCAAAAAACGCAGCACAATGGGTGCTCTTGCAACGAGTCCTGTTTCAACCCATCGTGTAAAACACCCAGCCTGCCCACGAGATCTGCGTCTGCTGGAACACATCACTGGTGAAGGCGGTCTGCCTTTAGAACTACTTATTTCTGGGACCTGCTTCCTGCGAACAATGCCAGTGGCCCACGATCGAAAAAGTTCGTACCAACATCCAAACATGTTACTTGTCCCATCGCATGTTTTGCTCCTCACAATTGACTGGCCATCAAAGATGCACAACATGCCAACCAGACAACACTGCCAAAGTTTAAAACATCGATAGCTGCCAATCGTACGGACCTTGAGGGGGACATTGCAGCTGATGCAAAAAACGTCGATCATGTTGCACCAAAGTTGTACTTTCGGCAACTGCTGCCACTGTTCTCTTCCGCAGACCCGATTGGTGACAAGAACAACAAAACACACTGTTGGACTTGCTCCGCTTGGTGGTCGGGCACGAGGGTTTCCCACATTCCGGCAGCTGCTGGATACGACAGGGTCACATGGTTTAAACATAGATCAACATGCATAAAGCTAAAATTCGATGAACATGTACAAATAATCAACAATTGAAAGGTAGATACAATGTCACATGCCAATTTGCATGTGGATTTTAATCCAATGTCACTTGTAAAACCGCACAATCCAACAGGAATTAAGCAAACAAACGAACAAACAAGCAAATGTCAAAACACACAATGCAACTCAACAACAACAAGCTTTATGAAGTGAAAATCGGGGCAATTCAAAACGAACCAATTGATTTTGACTCAGTTTTGAGCCGAACATTCGTTCACTTTCACTGTCCTGCGAACTTTCTCTCTACTGCCAATGGCAAGGCTGCACTCAAAGGCTGCATTCAATGAAGACGTCAAAAATAAAACTCCCAATGTCCAAAAATCAACAAATTCATGCTAAACAAACTTGAAACACTTGGGGTGCAACAACAAGCGACGACTTGCGCGACCAACATCAACGGTGTTGAGTTTATTGTCGTCACTCGGCTGGATTAAGACCGACTGCAAGCCGCGTTGTGTTGGACAGCACTGTTGCACCAATGTGAGAAGACGTGTTGCTTCTTCTCATTGGATACCATTGAGAGTTACCTGCCATGGCAAGTGTCAGCTAGAGTTTTTTTGTTTGCGCCATGGGCAACTCTTTTGGCTTCTAGCTGCCGCCTCAGCTGCAACAAGGCTTTTTGCTGTGTTCATCACGTCGGCGTTGCACTCTCCAGATTTTGGAGAGGGAGCCGGAATGTGAGATCGCGCATTTTTGAAGGCCATTCGCTTGACGGACTTGTCCTGCGGGTGTTTCGGTTGGACCTTGCGGTATTACATGCCGTTTTGTTTTGGCGTCCACGGGCCTCGTTGGCTGCGCTTGCAGCACTCGATCCCAGTAAATTACGTTTAAACAGACAAACACACGAGAAAACAGCGGTGAGACTGGGCAAAAGTGATCGTGGCTTAAAGGCTGCAGTGTGCGGACTTAGTCAGCAGGAGCTGTTCAGCGATTTTAAAAGAAGAGTGGATCGGCATCCAGAACCACCCAAGACAACGACTGGAGCCCAAATCAAAGGCTCCGGCCGCCGTTCTAGTCCCGTGGGACAACGGACAGCCCTCACCCTCGCGTCTTGATTGTTTTGCGAATCGTGCACACCAAAGTCCAAAGTCCAAGACGGGTGGCAATGGAGGCAATGGAAGGGCAGTGAGTGGGTCCGCATGATCCCCCCCACCAGGAAATGTGCGACAGGTCGCGACACCCATCGAGAAGGAAGATGCAGCGAGCTGGAGCTGGCGCCAGGGCGGCACCCCCCCCCCCGCCTCCTAGACATAGCGACACGGCAGCTGGCATTGCTGCTCTGCCTAAGGGAAAACGCTTCCCAGTGCTTACTAGAGTTGCTAGACTTTTAGCTTCCTTTCAAGTTTCCCTAGCCAAAATCCCCCCTCAAGCTTCCCCTTGTGGAGCCCATGTCTTCACATGCACCACAACTAGAAGAATTTGAAACCTCATTCCATGGACTGACTGCATGCTGGCAGTCATGCTGCACTCTAACAAGCTGCATTCTGACAGCTAAAACAAGATTCTGCTGTGGTTTGCAGAAAAAAAACTTCAGATCCCCATCATTCTGTGCCCTCAGTTGATTCCGGGCGTGCGGCTGACGAACTCTTGCCATGCTCAGCTTGGGACCCGCCAACTTGGAAGTTCTGTGCGTTGCGCTGCCGGACAAACGCACTCCAGGAGTTTCCCGCGGTCTACTCCCTTGCCTGGTCCTGTGCGCGTAGTTTGGCGAAAATGTCCACCGGCAGATTTTTCAGCTTAGTTACACCACATCGGTGCTGTTGTTGCCTCAGAATCTGCAGCAATATGCTTAAACTGTAGTCTGTGTGGCTGCCTGAGCAAGAGGAGAAGTTATAATTTTCACAACACCTGTTAGCGGCCGTTCTTTGAAGTTCTTTTTGTGACCAAGATGCTCAGCAAGAGGAAGTTCTGACTTTCATAACACCTCTTAGCGGCCGTTCTGAACTCAACGACAAAGTTCCAGGCAAAGAGCCGAGCCAAAAAACGGGCCTAGAATTCGAACCCAGCGACCCATCAGAGTAACAAAGAGCTGTCGCTCTGAGCAGTCCAAAGCAATAGGTGGAGCCAAGACCAAGACCACTTTCAAGCCCGTTGTTGAGTCGCGAAAATCTGCAGATCAGAATACCGTTCAATGTTTCCAGTTGGTCAGCGGACTGCAAAATGTCAGCACCCAGTCACTGCTTGTTTTGAACACATCTTCGGTTCAAAAAAAATCAAATTGTGGCATGCGTTCTTGCCAAGTACAGAATTTGCTGCAGGATGCTGGCAACTGGAGGTTCTGCGCAGCAGTCGAAAATCCTGACAATTTCCGGACCAGAAGTGGGCCTGTGGAAGGCACTTCAGAATCTGAGCTTGCTTCAGCAGCGGTTTGTTGAGTCCGCCGCCGGGCTCTGCGATTGGACGTGTCCAACGTCAGGCATATGTTTCCAAGGCAATTGAGA